CATTTGACAAAATGCGAGCCTCGGAACATCGTAAAAACTTTATTTCAAAAACGTTTTGAAAGAAAGGGTTTTGAGGTCTAAAATATTTTGATCAAGATTGTTTTGGTCTAAAAAGGGGTATGAAGTTGAGATTTGACTCTCTCCTTGCCGAAGAAACTGAACCTTTCCCCTGCACACCTTTCTCCACCATGTAAACCATCAGTCGCGTCCAAGTCTTAAGGACGGTCAAAAATGGGGTGTCTACACAATGCGCTCATGTGCCTTGTTTTTCCATCGAGTTTGGGCGAATTAGGCCTAAAATGGTTCGAGAGGCTGCTGGAGGAGAGCATCGAGAGGTGACAACAGTTGGCAGAGGCATTTGTCACCAGATTTAAGACAAATGCCAAAACGCCCAAGGAAATTGACCATCTCTTGAGAGTAAAGATGGAGCCAGACGACTCTTTGAAGGCATATAACGCTAAGTATTGGGAGACTTTTAACGAGATCGTTGATTGCCTACCAACCTTGCAATCACTCAGTATAAACGTGCTCTTCCAGTTGGACATCGACTAAGAAACTCACTCACAATGAATTAACCGTCGACCATGGAATTGCTCATGCAACACATTAATGAGCACATCTGAGTCGAAGACGATGCAGCCGTAGCTACCGTGACAATAAGTTCGGTAGTGGAGAATAAGAGAGTAGTGCGAAAGGTTCACGCAATCGGACAAGATGATGGCCATGCAAACCACCAAGGAAGAGATATAGGGAGTTCGGTTTTTTGAAGACGTCTGTAAGATGGCCGAGGAAAAGGGACATAAAACTCGCAGAATGTAAATGCCCAATCCATTTCCAGAATATCGAACTCTACCAATCTAAAGTTTTGTTCTTAGTTTTATTTTTGTAACCCTTTTTGCTATTGGCATAATGAAACAAGTAAACCATTTTCTTGAGAATTGTTGTATTTTTGCCTCGCCAAGCGGATTTAATGCGGTCCAAGGGGCAATTAACATCATTTTGACGGAAAGATCAAAATTCCTTGCAGGGCAGATTTTGCTCGGCCAGAGGTTTGTTGATGGTTTTGATCAACTTTGGAATTCCTTGCCGGATGGATTTTGCTCGGTAAGAGGTTTATTGATGATTTTATCAACTTTGGAATTCATTGTCGAATAAATTTTACTCGGTAAGAGGTTTGTTGATGGTTTTAATCAACTTTAGAATTCCTTGCCGAGCTAATCTAACTCGCCAAGAAGAAAGTCGCTAAGCTGACCTTGCTCACCGACCTTGGAGTTCTTTGTCGAGCTAATCTTGCTCGCCAAAAAGCAAGTCGCGGAGCGGACCTTGCTCGCCGACCTTGGAGTTCCTTGCTGAGATGATCTTGCTCGCCAGGAAACAAGTCACAAAGCTAACCTTGCTCACCGACCTTGGAGTTTCTTGCCGAGCTGATCTTGCTCGTCAAGAAGTAAGTCGACCTAACCTTGCTCGCCAACCTTGGAGTTTCTTGCCGAACTGATCTTGCTCGCCAAGAAGTAAGTTGCCGAGCTGACCTTGCTCACCGACCTTGGAGTTCCTTACCGAGCTGATCTTGCTCACCAAGAAGCAAGTCGCGGAGCGAACCTTGCTCGCCGACCTTGGAGTTCCTTGCTGAGCTGATCTTGCTCGCCAAGAAACAAGTCACGGAGCGGACCTTTCTCGCCGACCTTGGAGTTCCTTGCCGAGCTGATCTTGTTCGCCAAGAAACAAGTCGTCGAACGGACCTTGCTTGCCGACCTTGGAGTTCCTTGCCGAGCTAATCTTGCTCGCCAAGAAGCAAGCCGCCGAGCTTACCTTGCTCGCCGACCTTGGAGTTCCTTGCTGAGCTGATCTTACTCTCCAAGAAGCATGTCGCCGAGCGGACCTTGCTCGCCGATCTTGGAGTTTCTTGCCAAGCTGATCTTGCTCGCTAAGAAGCAAGTTGCCGAGCGAACCTTGCTCGCCAACCTTGGAGTTCTTTGCCAAGTTGATTTTGCTCGCCAAGAAGAATCGCTAAGCTGACCTTGCTCGCCAACCTTGGAGTTCTTTGTCAAGCTAATCTTGCTCGCCAAGAAGCAAGTTACGGGGCGGACCTTGCTCGCCGACCTTGGAGTTCCTTGCCGAGATAATCATGCTCACCAAGAAACAAGTTGCAAAGCTAACCTTGCTCGCCGACCTTGAAGTTCATTGCCGAGCTGATCTTGTTCGCCAAGAAGCAAGTCGCTGAGCTGACCTTGCTCGCTGACCTTGGAGTTCCTTGCCGAGCTTATCTTGCTCGCCAAGAAGCAAGTCGTCGAGCTGACCTTGCTCAACGACTTTGGAGTTCCTTGCTGAGCTGATCTTGTTCGCCAAGAAACAAGTCGTGGAGCAGACCTTGCTCGCCAACCTTGGAGTTCCTTGCCGAGCTGATCTTGCTCGCCAAGAAACAAGTCGCCGAGCTGACCGTGCTCGCCGACCTTGGAGTTCCTTGCCGAGCTAATCTTGTTCGCTAATAAACAAGTCGCGCAACGGACCTTGCTCGCTGACCTTAGAGTGCTTTGCCGAGCTGATTTGGCACCCCAAGATGTAAGTTGTTGAGCTAACCTTGCTTGCCGACTTTGGAGATCCTTGCCGAGCTGATTTTGCTCGCCAAGATACAAGTTGTCGAGCTGACTTTCCTCACTAACTTTGAAGGTCCTTGCCAAGTTGATTTTGCTCGCCAAGGAAGTTGCTGAGCTGATTTTACTCACCAAGAAACAAGTTTCCGAGCTGACTTTGCTTGCCAACTTTGAAGTTTCTAAACCGAGCAAAGTGAACCACCGAGCAAAAAGTCTAGCCCAGCCTTGTAATGTAATTCCGGTCACGTAAATGCTGACGGAATTAAGGGGCAATTGAGAGGGGGATTTCATAATCTGCCTTTGGGCTGTGGTAATGGCCGGGCAAATTAGGCCAAGCAAGTTTGTGGCGAGCTGGGTTGGGTTAATCCGGTGGTAGTGAGCTCAGTCAAGGCCCAGGTCTGATTGGCCAAGGTAATTTCAGACTGCGGGCCCGATTCACTTTATTTGCTCACTAAGTTAGGTGGGTCAGATCCTCCGCCGACCAATCCAACCGAGCAGGAGCTCGATCATAGCGGAGGGCAGCTGAGCTGCAGTGGAAGTAATGCATGTCATAACAGAGCTCAGTTATAAATGGAGGGCGATCGAGCTTGGTCATGACAGAGCTCGGTTCAGAGCATTGCATGTCTTGGAAGTAGTGCGGTCATAAGAAGAGGGGGCGGCGCCGGGCTGTCCGTTCACGCCAACGCCACTTGGCGGTTTGGTTAGGTGGTATTTAGCTGTATTTGCGCTGACATGTAGGAAAGTGGGATAAGAGAACAGGTCCACGCGTCAAAAGGTGAATGGATGCAGAGGTACGCGCATGAGGTATATAAGCATGACTGCGCGTCCCTATGTTGAGTAATGGAACATCTTCTGGTGAGAGAAACACTAACACATTGTCTTCTCTCTCTTCTCTCTCTTTGAATGTGTGTTGACTTGACCGTCGGAGGGGTTTTCCAGCAACACACCGCCGTGTAGCTCACCTTCGTTGTGTTCACAGGTCGATTGGAGGAAGGTGCAGCTTGGTCGCAAGGAGTACGGGTGGTATCGGATATTTGCTCCCCGTGCAATAATCACATAATTTTATCTTATTAAAAAAATAGGCAATCTATTTTAAAAATCTCCTTATTATGTATTGTTTTGAAGACAAAATTAATAAAATTATATGATTACTATTATTAAATAAATGGGAATGGCTTCCCTCCATCACGGGTCGCGTTTTGATAATCCGAACTGTTTAATATGTAAAACTCGTCTAGTACTATACGCTTATAAAAAAATACGGTGATCGGATATCGATAACTATATGATCAAATCAAATTTTCGTAAACCGTTTATTTTTCACCGTCCATTTTTTTCATACAAAACTGATTTGATCACATAACTATCGATATCCGATCAACGCAATTTTTTTACAAGCATATAATAATCGATGAATTTTACACATTGATAATTCGAATTATCGAAACAGAATCTATACTGAACCCTCGTAGGCCTAACAGTACTGGAGGGAAGCCATTCCCTAAATTAATAATATACACGCACATGGTTATCAGATTGATGAATCAAATCATGACAGTTCAACGATGCAATTGGAAATGATGTCCAACCATTTAAAAATACCGAAATTAAAATTAAAAAAAGAAAAAGAAAAAACATTTCAGCTAAGAAGATTAAAATTATTTTCAAATAAATGAGTTACAAATTTTTAATGTGCTAATTTAATTTAATAATTTTTTTTTAAAAAAAAATTGTGCTATATTTTTCACTATCACGTTATTCCAGAAATGAAAAATAACGAATAATTATAAAATAACCTCAAAGTTTGATAATTGTAATAAAATAAAATTTTAACTTTATCAATTTAAATTATAATCTTTTAATTTTTTTTCTATCTAAACCATTTGCATATTTATGTTATGTAAAACATACACACAAAAAATAAAAAATTTAGTCATTAAACTCAATGTATGTGAATTTAAAATGTCTAAAATATTTTTTTGCCATTGAGTTTAATGATTAAAATATTATTTTTTTATTAGTTTTACTTAGTGAAAATAGATAGATGATTTAGATTAAAAATAAATCAAAAAATTATTATTTAAATTGATAAAATTAAAAATTTAATTTGTTACAAGATGTTAGGTTTTTTTTATATATTTTATTTTTTGTAAAAAATTACCTAAAAAAAAGTAAGATAATTGTTTTTAAGATTCTTGATACATATAATATTTTATAGTAGTTAAGGTTCTCAATATTTTTACAAAAAAAATTTAATTCAAAAATATTTTACCCGACTCAGAAAAATTTCGACCCCAAACACAAAAAAAAAATTTCATCAAATAACCTTAAGTAATAATAATAAAAAAAAAAAATTACAAAATTGAAAACTAATTTTTCTAGAAAACGTACACATGTCCCATGCAATCCCATGTCTTCAACCGTATTTCCGTTTTCTCATTTCGGACATTTTCCATCTCTGCATCTGTTAGATCTCCCCATTGCATTCCCATACTTCTTCCATATCATTTTTCTCTTAATCCTCTCTTCTCACTCATAAACCCAATACTAAATCTATCTATCTATATATACATATATAGATTCTTCACATTTTGACAGAAACCCAAATCAGATCTCGATCGCATTCGATCTCCACCAGCAATGGCGACAATGGAGAGCTTGATTGGACTTGTTAACCGAATCCAACGAGCTTGCACTGTATTAGGCGATCATGGCGGTGAAGGAATGTCCCTCTGGGAAGCCCTTCCTTCTGTTGCGGTCGTTGGAGGCCAGGTCACATTTTTTTTCACATTGATGTCTTTTTTTTTTCTTTTTTTTTTCCTCATCAAATTCTTGTTTTTCTGTTGAAATTAGAGTTCTGGGAAATCATCGGTGTTGGAGAGTGTTGTTGGGAGAGATTTTCTGCCTCGTGGATCTGGTAATTTCAGTTCTCTACTTTTGGATTTGTGTTTCCTTCTGTTTTTGGTTGGTGGGAAAGTGAAAGAAAATGAAATACAAGTCACAAATAAAAATTCACCGCTTTTCATTCTAATCTGTTAACTGAGCTAAATATGATTACTGGTTTCATTTTTTTTTTTATATGGTTTGTGGGAAAATTTTAGAAAAGGAATAGAAATCACTATTTGAATCCTAAGCTTTTCATCACAAGTATTTGATTCAGTGGAAGTTTAGGGTCTGTCTGGATGGATGTGGATTTCGAATCAAGGGATTTGAAATTAAAATATTGGAGAGTTAGCAATTATAGGTGGAGAGAAAAACTATATAAGAAGATAAGTTGAGATCAAAGAAATGCATTTTAGTAGGAGCCTTGTAGTTAGAAGAGAATCCTTAGTATGATTTCAAATAGCTACTTTTATGTAGTTATTTTAAATCCATCGTGATAAATTAATCTAATTCAACTTGAAATTCATAGGTGAACTATCAAATCTAAATTTGAGTTATTTATTCCCCTTGAATAATTAATGTCAAATCCATACATTTCAAATCCACGTCGTTCCAAATGGATCCTTAGTTTTCTCTTATTTTTTTCTTTGTTTTATAACACAAGGTGAGAGCCATAATAGAAGAGGCATTTCTTTTTTCTTTAACAAATACTTTGTTTTCATTATATTTTTCTTGAATTTGTAAGGTATTGTTACTAGAAGGCCATTGGTGTTGCAACTACATAAGACAGAGGGGGGAGCTGAATATGCCGAGTTTTTGCATGCACCAAAGAAGAAGTTCACTGATTTTGGTAAGTTGAATTTTAAGAAATTCTTTCTGTTTTTGGTTTCTGGCATGTAAGTACTCTTGGGCTTTCCAGTGTTAAACTTACTTATTTGTTAAAGTCTACACTTCACTTTCTATTCCTTGACATGAATTTTCATTTTATTTCAATTGGGTTTATGGATCTCTTGCTTCACTAGTCATGGTACATCTTATATGTCTTGACAATGTGCTGATTTTCTTTTTTTCTTTTTATTGTTAATAGTTTGTGTACCATATCCGTACAATTGCTCTGCCCATTTAGCTTTGGGGATCTTCTGATGATTTATTTGTGTATGAAAATTGTCTTCACTACAAAAGATTGACATAAAGTTGTGGTTTGAAGCCAGAAAGGCATAGTTTGCAAAAGTGACATTTGCGTCAGCAGACATGGTATTTTATTTATTTATTCACCGTGGAGCTGTCTGCTAAATCAAGATCAAAGTTTCTTACTGAGTTATCCAATGCAGCTAACTCAGCTGATCAGTTACCGCTTATCCTACCTACCTTTCCTATTATTAGCTCAAATAAACCTTTGTCTTTTCCTCGTTTATGATTCAATATCATGAGTTCTGCATCATTGCTCATATATCCAACCAATCTGTTGATTTTGTGCCTGCCTTTATTTTGTTAATATTATCAAAAAGGAAAACAATAACTGATCCCCTAGAACTATTAAGAAGAAAAAAATCAGATAATTCAATGAGAAGTTGAAAATTATCATTGTTTTCCGTTTTCTGTCAGGATGTATTCAACAATGTCTATTTTCTTTAAAGGCTCTGGTGCTAGGCTGCATAACATTTCATCCTTAATTTATTTATTCCGCTTTGTTCAGATGTCTGAAAAATTTAGTCGATACAGAACTATAAATTTTGCATTAATGAATGAGCATTCTTTTTTGTCTATGCAGCTGCTGTACGTAAGGAGATAGCAGATGAAACTGACCGTATTACAGGGAAGACTAAGCAAATCTCTAACATTCCAATTCACCTGAGCATTTATTCACCAAATGGTTAGTATTTGCTTTGCTCCTTTCTAGTTCCTAGGTCGATTTTTTTTCGTTGAAAGTAGAAACATATAGGAATAATAAAAATATATTGTTTCTTCTTTATTTTTTTAGTGGCCAATTGTGTGGAAGAATATGAAATAAAGAATGAGCATCACGTACAAAGCAAAAGGCTGGCATAAAATATGAAAGGAAAGAACATGTGTCCCACATATACACAATATAACAAAAGGGACTAATGAAATTCCAAAACTTAAGATGTCCCAATGATACACAATTCTGTGTTTGGAGAAGTAGGAGTTGTGCCTAGATGTAGTAACATGGACCCATTGGGTCTCTTGGATAATATGACTTGCTTGTCTTTGAGTTATCCTGAAGATCCTATTGCTTCTCACATGCCAAATGTAGTAGAACATGACAGGCAAAGCAAGTTTTCTTCCAACGTAGTAAAACACCTTCCACAATATGCCCCTACAGCAGGGGCATTCAAAAAAAGGCGAGAGATGGTTTTTTCTACCCTAGTCACTTTGTCATTTATTTGACATTCCTTCAGTTTGTCTCTAGTTGTAAGGCATTTTCAAATTGCAAGAAAAAAGGATGATTCTCTGTCTTGTAATAACTTTGGGGAACTATATGAGCTTATGCCAAAGAACTATAGGTTTTCTATTATGAATTGAATTCCATCAAAAAGATTAAACTTCTTATAAGGAGACACAAGCCACTCTACCTTACTTGGGCAGCATGGGTTCCGTCTGAAGTTAGTGCGGATTGAACTAACAATCTTTTGAAGTTCTGAAGAGCACGCAGAGGGCCTAGACCAAGTTCCATTCGTAATTATCTTTTCTACTTTCTCATCAGAAGGGAAGCCAGCATCATAGACAATGTGGCTGCCATAACTTGAAACTAAAGGACCAATAAAACACCGACACTTCAATCTGTGTACTATTTTTTATGCTTGTTCAAGTGGGAATTTCGTTAGGGGCTCAAAAATATTGTTGTGGGCTTGTTTATTATCTTCTGAATACAAATAAAACTCAGATTTTGTTTATTATAGTCAAGTCTTCTTGGCATGTTTCATGCTACCAACAACACAACTCAATCAACTTCCCCAATCACAATTACTTGGGGTCAGCTACATATATCCACTTTTTTTTCCAATTGGTTCGATTTTCCCAACTGGAGAATTCTAAAGATCTACATTCATAAGTTGTGACTGCTATTTTTACATTGGTTGTTTACCTACCACAATCCTTGTTTCTCCAGGCTTTGGAATGGCTGCATAATAAAGCCTATAAGCATGACACAGGTTCAGTTGCTTATTTTCATGCTATGTGTCTTTAAAAGATTCATTGTCATTTCAATTTCCAAGTCATCTATAAACATGAAAGTGCTAGGTATGAAGTGTTTTAATGTTTCCTTCATCCTTCATAGAAGGTTTTTCTTTTCTTTGTTAAACGATCCCTGTAACTTTAATGCATTTGTAGTAACCTAAAATTACCATTCTAGCTTCCTGTATGACATGCCATTCTTTTTTTTCCTGTTTTTAATTTTTATTTTCCCCCTTTTAAAGATCTTATGGGCTCTCTCAGTTTGGATTTTTTGACTTTTAAGCATATGATTTTGTTTTACAGTTGTAAACTTAACCCTCATAGATCTTCCTGGGCTGACGAAGGTTGCTGTGGGTAAGTATCTTAATAACATTTACTTGAACATAATATAAAGAAACTAATCCATTTACTTGTGCTTTATTAAATGATAACTTCAATATTTTTTATGAGTAATAACAACCTTTCTTTTTGCAGAGGGACAGTCAGACACTATTGTTGAAGATATTGAAAACATGGTCCGTTCTTACGTTGAGAAGGTGCGGAACTTATCTTGGCAAGAACAATGAACAATTTTTCCTAAAAAAAAGGAAGCACTAAATAAAATATGCATTTTTTGAGTCAACTACCTTCGGGATCTATATTTTACCTTGTGTTTGTTTGCGAAGATATATTGGCTGCCTGCAAAATTGCGGGTCTATAATTTAGAAGATATATGATTTTGTTTCTTAGTGAGTTACCAAAGTTGTTGTGACAAAAACTACAACACCTTTTTAGGATAGGAAATTTTTTATAAATATATATACACATTTCATTTGGAGGAATATATACAATTTAACGAAAATATTGCTAGCACTAAGATATTTCCATTTTACTAGAGTTGTGCTTAGTTGAGCTGAGAATAGATTTTGATATACTCATGTGTGCACCACCATACATGAATACTGTCAAAAGTTATTTAATTTGATAGGAAAATTGTTTATGGGCATGGTTGTCTTTTGAATAAAGAGAATGAATGTAAAATGTGTATATTGTCAATTAGATCTAAGCTCAAGTTTATATGAAATTACTGTACATGTGAATTAGACTATATACAATAGCCATAGTAGAGCATAAATAAAACTCAGTATTTCAAGCTCAACCCTTTGATCTGATGATGGATCATAATCAAAAGTTGGTAGAATAGAAAATCTGTGAAGCTTTTGAGACAATCAGGAATCAACAGGTTTAAATTTTGAGGGGAGATGGAAAAGGTAATTGTGATGTTTACCTGAAGGAGATGGAAAAAGTAATTGTGATGTTTACCTGAAAAATCTATCTCTATATATATGTTTGGTTATGGTTGTGAAATGAGAAAATTGTTGTGAAGATAGACTCCGAAAAAGCTATGAGGCTTTTGCAGTGGAGACTTGGCAACTAAGAGGCATGGATACAGAAATGCCAACATGGCAATTTTCAAAAAGGTGCAAGACACGACACATAGGGGACACACAAAAAATATACAGTTTTATATATTTATTATATGGCATATATATGAATATATTGTTCAAAGATATAAAAAAATTCAACATATACTAATTTTTGTAAATCTACATTATTTTTATTTTATTTTGTATCCTAAGTTATTTTGTTCAAACTTATAATTAGTTTCATATGTATTCAAGTTATGGGCATGTGTGTCTCCCAAGTGTCTAAAGAGTGTATGGGTCCAAAAAATTTAAAAATCATAGGACACATTCGGATGAGTGTTTGACACGTGTTGGGAAGTGTCCGAAAAGTGTCGGTGTTCGACACAGACACACACTACTTTTATTAGAAGTGTTCATGCTTTATAGCTTGGCAATGAAACGCGTTAGCTTGTCCTATTTGCTGGTGCAGGTTTACGTTGCAGTAACTATGGAAGGACTGTAGACAAGTGATGCAGGGCACCTATCAAGAAATTTGTCCTGTTTTTTTTATTGATTCAAAGTCAGAAAATATGGGGAATGGTTCTGAAAGAAAAGAACCGAGATTAAAGAAGAAATGAATTTTCAAGAGAAGAACACATGCCACAGCCCTACACACAAGGCCACACCTTTTCTCAACTTGAATTCATTGTTCAACTCCGACCAATTACAATGTCAAAGCCTTTATTTATAGGCTAAAAGAAACCCTAATAAAAATAAGGAAACTAAAATTCTCAATGGCTAAGAAACATACTAAAAAGAAATAAATCCTAAGAATCCTGATTAAAAATTCTTTATCACTAAGAAACGTACTAAAAGGAAACAAATCTTGAGAATCCTAACAAATCTTGAAAATCCTAATTAAACTATAACTTAAAATAAATAAATAAAATATTAGAAATAAATAAAATTATAAAATTTACATGAATATCCATGAACATTCCGCATCAACAAGATTTGCCAGTTCCAGCCATGAGGACAAATGCCCAAAAATATTTATTTTAATTTTGGATCTTTTATCTAGAAAAAGGTTGAGAGTCACCACTTAGTTTTTGTTTAGGGTATCACTAAGAACCCAAAAAATGACTCCAAAAATAAAGTACTATTAAATTGTCACCAAAGAACTGAATTCGGGGCTATGGTAGAAGATAGGAATGCGTGAAGCATCCATCTTGCCTAACTATAAAGTCGGTCTCTACTCGACATTGTTGGTTTATTTAATTAAATTTAGTAGGCCTGAAAATGCATAAATGATGATATAAAATGAGGATAGAATTAATCACTAGGATGAGGATAGATACTCATCCAAGGCAGGACACACCATCATTTTTGAAGAATAAATTCAAAATCAAAGAGATAAAATTATATAGCTTGAGTGACAACCCCCTAAAGGGTCCATTGTAGGATTTATCCAACGAGAATAAATTTATTTAATTTTTTAAAAAATGTGAAGCCTTTAAAACAAAACAGCCCTCACTTTAATTTACAATGTGGGTCTTTGGGGACTCTTCGAATTCTATCTAATGGAAAACAAACTACCATCATTATCACATCCTCATGAATTCAACCATAACAAAATAAAAGAGTAACAATAGAAACTATCCATGAGTAGGAATAAAATAAAAAAAAAATAAAAAAAAAACAAAGAGTCAAGATAATCAATTTTGTACCAAGTGTATCCCCTTTGACAAACTAAGGGACACCCAACCAATCGCTGTGATCAAAAGAAACCATTAAACATATGTAGCTTTGGGAAAGGGGAGTACAACAATGCTAAGGTGATAGTCCGTCTAGGTGGGCTCAAGCTAAAGTAGGAGAAAAGAGTTAGCTTTTCTGCCGAGTGAGCCCAAACAAGAGAGGACGCACACTAGATCAGAGAAAGTTTAGCTGTGTCCTATTTTTAAGCATGATGTTCATAAGTCCACTCAATAAGATACAACTTCCAGGGCTTACTACACAGCTAAACTTGGGAGGAAGTATAAAAATTTTGAACTAAAGAAATCCTTGAGAAGTACAATGTGGAGTTGGGATTTTTGCCCCTGCTCACAGTGTTTCTCAGTGATTTGCAGTGTTATTTTCTGAGAAAAGACCTGGGTTTATATATCAAGCTCCATGGGGTCTTCATTTTTAATGTGGAATGAAAGAACAATTGGATAAATTCTGAACAATTTGGGCTGAAACTGATGTGGGAGAAAATCGAGCCAATAAGAGCACATGGCCTGCCTGGCCCTATGGTTTTTACCATAGCATTGGCCAGCTCTACAGGGTTGGCTTTGGCTGGTCTTGTTATGAGGCTTTTCGGGTCAAATCTTGAACCTTTCGGGCGCAAAATGTGACTCAAAAGGGTGTAAGAACATGTTACAACTTACAAGTTTCAAAAATGATTCAAGGGTGTTCCAACTTGAAGAATCAGCTTGGCACATTAGATTAGACTATAAATTGTCCGATTTCAAAAAGTATAGTTGTCGGGATGGGGTTACTTCCACTTCATTCCGTGATTGAAGGAAGTCTTCATAATTTCATTTCCACATTCTCGTCATTAAGTAGTGCTTTGGCTATTGGCCTAAATATTATAGCTAGTCAAAATGGGAATTAAACTTATTAGAGAATTTGAGAAACTAGAAAGGAGAGGATGAGTTATTTACAGAAGATAAAACAAGCATTTTTAAGTCACTTATTTTCTTTCTTTATTATTGCAAAGTAATTTTTTTATAAAGATTGTAACTAGTATTTTTTCCCCCCTCATTTCTACTACTATTTTTTTTTTCATTTTTTAATATTTTTTCTTGTAATGGACAACCCCCTTTCCCAACTAGGCATTTAAACCTTTGGTTTATGAGCTTCTAATATTCATGAACCTTAACATGTTCAATTATTTAATTATTGAGAATGTATTGACATTTATGTAGGTTTTAGTTTTTGCTTTCAAACATTTTTCATATCTTTCCAAATTCTTTTGTCATTTCGCTTATGTTTGTTAAATGTTTACATTTCGAAGCTAACAGAAACAACATGCCAACCAAAAAATTTGATCCTTGAGAAAAAGTTTATTGCTTCTTCTATCTGCTTTACGAGCATTAAAAGTTGTTGGTGTAATCTACCATCATAATCAATTAGACTGGTATTTTTAAACATCGGTGGAACAAGAAAAACAAATAAAATGAAAAATAAACAAGAAAAATAGGGGAGGTCCACTTTGCTAAATGTATGACAAAAGGGAAAGAAATCCAGAATTAGGGTTTTCCCTCTTACTCCTTATAGTTATACTAATGCATCTCAAAAGTACGAAAATACCCCTCAGGCTATTCCATAATTCATAACAATCATGGACGCAGTTCTCTCAGTTATTAACAGTTTAGCCATAGCCTGCATAATCAATTTTGTAATCTCATATTTGCATTATTGGGGTCAACTGATGATTATTTTGATTTTGCAGCCCAATAGCATTATACTGGCTATTTCTCCCGCTAATCAAGATATTGCCACTTCTGATGCTATAAAGCTTGCAAGAGAAGTTGATCCAACAGGTACTTGTGTGGTTGGTACAGTATTTTCCTGTTTGTTAAGGCTAGATTAATGCTTCTTTATTGGAACATTTACTTACAAGCCAAAATATTATATATATATATATATATATATTTATTTATTTATTTATGAAAATTGGTTATTTTTTAGGTGAACGGACATTTGGAGTGCTAACAAAACTTGATCTAATGGACAAGGGAACGAATGCTCTGGATGTATGTGCTCAACACTGACTTTATAAATTTGTCAAACCACTACAGAATGTACTCTCAATTGTATTAGTGCAATGTCTAGATTTTTATCACATCATGGTTGTTTTCTCCTTTCATTTTAATTCCTTGGAAGTTATGGTGTATTCTTTTTGTTATTCTCAATTCTAGTTAGTTTTTCAGTTGCCAAAATGAAAGGGATGAATTGTTTCTCTTTTACAACGTTTAAGGTTCTTGAAGGAAGAGCATACAGGCTTCAGCATCCCTGGGTTGGAATTGTGAACCGTTCACAAGCAGATATCAACAAGAATGTTGACATGATTGCTGCCCGTCGAAAGGAGGAGGAGTATTTTGAATCTAGCCCGGAGTATGGACACTTGGCACGTAAAATGGGTGCGGAATATCTGGCACAACTTTTATCTAAGGTCTCTCTCCCCACGTAATGTAGTTTCTTATAGTTATTTTCCTGTACTTTTTTTTAATTACCTCTACACTGAACTTAGTTTTTACTTTTCGGGTGTGAACCAGCATTTGGAGACTGTTATCAGGCAGCGCATACCAAGTATTATTGCTTTGATAAATAAGACAATTGATGAGCTTAATGCAGAGTTGGACCGTATTGGCAGGCCTATTGGTGTAGATGGAGGGGTAATTACTGTGACCTATGTCAAAGTCACTATTTTTAGTCAAAACAGAGATTTCTTTCATCCAGTTTTGATTACTTGGGAAATCTTGACTGTATGTGCAGGCCCAGCTGTACACTATTTTGGAAATGTGTCGTGCATTTGACCGTGTGTTTAAGGAACACCTGGATGGAGGGTAATGCCACTATCTTTATTCTGCAATTTTTTTTTTTTTTTGGGAAGTTTCAAGCATCAACAATTCTATTTAGGCTGTGTGATTGTCTTTGTTGTTGAACGTAATGATTTTACTTGCTACATTCTTTGCGATGCATTGGGTATTACCAAATTGATCAAGTCTGTGCTTCTAAGGGTAGTGGGGTAGTAACACATGCTGTTTCAAAGGATATTGTTTTTTCTTAAAATTCATGTACAAATGGTACTTCATAATCTTGGGAAGAAATACCTATTGCCTCCATAATTTAACAAGGTTAATCCATTTTGAATCCTTAATACAAAAGTCTTTCTTGTTATGTATTGAACTTGATGGTACCTGAGCATGACCATATATTTGAGGCTCATGAGATTGATTGTACAGAATGGACATGGTGTTGTTTGCCTCCTGAACCAATAATTGTTTGCCTCCCCTGCTTCACTTGGTAAGAGAGGAGCTTCTCTGGATTGCCTTCTTCGTCAACAAATAAAGGGTTTTTCACCCAACTTTACAGAACCACCCTTTTTGAATCACTCATGGCTTATAAGCAAGCTCATTTATAGCTGATCCTTCAATTATTATATACATATAGCTTTTCTGCATAACCTTATGTAGTTTTATTTGGTAAATAGTAATCTTCAACGCCAATATTCATTTGGGAACCATGAATTATTTTCTGGAATATATGGATGGATGTGCATGCATGTCAATGGGACCTTTTTGAAAATAAACTTGTGGCATTTACTTGAATGATTAAAATGGATTCAAGGTTCAGTTTATTATGGGAGAATTAATATTTTGATGAAAGTAATTCTAGATTTTAGGACTAAGTAATATTTATTGTCAAACATTTTTGTAAAGTGTGTACCTTTATGGAAGAATATACAGTCTCTATTAAATCATGTGGTCTGAATGTCATGGAAAATTAACATCCTTTGATTTGGATTAGTTTTGTCTGTTTCTTATAATGAAATTTCTTTCTAGAGTATATTATAGAGTAATAATTTGCTTCTCAGGCGACCAGGTGGAGATCGGATATATGGCGTTTTTGATCATCAACTACCAGCTGCTTTTAAAAAGCTTCCATTGGATCGTCATCTTTCTCTAAATAATGTCAGAAAAGTTATTTCAGAGGCAGATGGTTATCAGCCCCATTTAATTGCTCCTGAACAAGGGTACAGAAGACTAATTGATGGATCTCTCGGCTATTTCAAAGGCCCAGCTGAAGCCTCTGTTGATGCTGTAATGTTCCTTGCTATTTTAGTATCCTACATAATCCATCTAAATTCTTGCTTTTTACATAGCTAAATATTTTATGAAGGTTTGGTAGTGTTTTCATCAAATATGGGTCATTTTCTTTAGGGAATTTGGAGACCTTACTTGCAAAATATGTTATTGCTAGCTACCGTCATGGATGGGAATGTTTTTATTTCTTTTTAACATTTAGAGTAAGAAGTTAAGGATCCCACTTTTTTTTAACCCTTAGTCAACACCCTGCCTCTGCCTCCTGGTGTGGGTCACTTCTTCTCAAAGGAAAAGGAAAAAACAAAAGGGTCAATTCACTTGCAATATCTCCTAATACATAGCTTTGATCTAAGAAATGTAATTGCTATTTACATTTTGGATCTTTCTAGAGCATCCTTTTCAAATATAAATCCTAGTTTATTTTAGTTCTTATCATTGATTAGTTTCTATTCCTTTTCTTCCTCAGGTACACCTTATTCTGAAAGAACTTGTGAGGAAATCACTATCAGCAACACAGGTAAACAATCTTCAATTTTTCCCCCCCAGTGAGATAGATCATCTTTGGTTAGTAATATTTCTTTGCAAAATAATTTAAATAATTAACAACCTAACATCGACATGTTTATATTTCTACACATTTGGAAGTATTCAAGTTATTTGGTGCATCTGACATGCATACTTCAGTCAGTTTGAAATATTCATGTAAAATTGGAATGGATTGGAAAAGTGTGCTTGGAAACTTACACAAAAGAATAATTGAATGGCTGCCCTTTTGGCATATATATACATATCAAAGTGTAACTGAGGCATTTTGGACATTTTGAATTGTCCATGTGGCTTTAATATGTTAGCAGTCAGGAAACTATGCAAGCATTGAGAATGCCAACTTGCCAAGGAAATCTACAAACATGAATTCCCTTTAAATATAGTTGAATTTCCAATGACAATAAAAGTATATCGATGAATAGTCGACTTCCATGTGACTCATGTCTTACCAAGTAAAAGTTAACCTTTTAATTCTTTTATTTAGTTATTTATTTTAGGGTAAGCCTTGGCGCAGCGGTACAGTTGCTCAATTGCAACTTGGGCGTCATGGGTTTAAACCACATAAATAATCTCCCCGGGGATAATGTTGTGTACATCTGACCCTCTCCAGACATCATAGTGGTCGGGGGGCCTCATGCAATGGGACTGTCCTTTTATTTATTTACTTATTTGGTTTTCGTTAGCTACATGTTGTGGGTGGCAAGAAGAAAATGAGAGTTCAACCAACAAATGGGCTTCCCATCTGTTTATATATGATCACTTAATTATGTATGAAAGTACAAAGGCACCAAAAATAGGGGTTGCAAACCTTCTACACTACAATGTATAAAAACAGGCCCCGTGCCTATATCAACAGGAATGGACAAGTCTTCTAAAATTAAACAAACAACAGGGGAAAAAATGACAAGGAAAAACACTATATCGTCTACAAATATAGGGAAATGAGAAGTATTCCGTTCAAACAATGAGTCAAAAGCTCAACACCCTCAAAAAGACCTGCAGGGTTGCCTGCCACACTTTCTTGTCCCACCCCAAACTTACCTGTTCCCAACAAACTAAAAGATCAACAGTGGAAGAGGGCATCACTTACCAAAAATACAAGCTCCAAAGAAGAGCTACACTATAATGAAGAAGAACATGATTCACTCTCTCCCTGTGTTTTTACACATACAAACCCAAATCACAATAATCTTATGCCTTTTCCTAAGGTTATCAATAGCTAAAATAGCCTTAAGAGTTGTCATCCAAATAAAGGCCACCTGATGTAGCATCAAGGGTTGACGTAGCACCAAAAAGAAGAACAGAAGGAGAATGAAACATAGAAGAACAAATAAATTGGGGAATCACAATCCCATCATTATATTTTATATCAATATCCCAATTATAGGCTCAAACCATGTTGTACACTCTCAAACATATTGCATATCAATGTACTTATAAGCATCTCAAGAACATTCCCATAAGGAAACAAAATCTCAATATAACTATAATTCTTTATATAATTATAATTCTTAAAAACAAAACTACTCTCGTATATAAAACTCTAAATTAATTAAAATTCCTAATGATAATCATATTCAATCTATGCCTCATCCAATTCTTTGGCATTCCCTATCACCACCTTTGGAGGAACCTATTGTTTTCCAAATCCCACTCCACAGGAATGCTTGCTCTCTCCCTATGCACAATGATTCATAGAATGAAGGGACTGAGGATAAGCCATTCCCAGTATTTTCCAGGCCATCAAATTCTGAATCTCCCATCAATGGGCACTCATAAAGTAACCAAAAAAATCCAATATGGAGTCTATCTTCCTGTCTTGTAGTGTACTCCTGAACTGGTGGTTGTCCACCTTTGAAGGCACCTTAGTTTTGCTTCATGTACAATGCACAGTAGATCACTTTCTAGTCAAACTTATATTTTCAGTGGATAATACTCCTGTTCAAACATTGTTTATGAATTTTGTTTGGTTGGACATATAAATATCACTGCAATTGTGATTGTCTTGGTGACAACACGACATTTGAGTAATGTTACTAATGTATATCATTGTTGTGTTGCTGGAGGTAGACTTGTGTGGGGAGAAGCATCTATATTGTAGTATGTTAATTCAATTTTCTTGTTTGGCAGTCCCAAAATATTATCTACAAATTAATGTTTACAGAGCTACTTATTATACCAAAAACTTGCTCTTTTTCTATACACATAACTAAAGGTAGTTTGGATGCATCATAGTTCTCTTACCATGCACGTGCAATTTTCTTACAACTTGATTGCATTCTTCATAAACAACTTTTAGATATGGATAGATAATGCATAAGTGTCCTTCAGCATGACAGGTCTTTTCCATCTTATGCAAAAAAGAAAAAGAAATAAAATGTTAAAATTTACCATCACCTACCACCAATTTACCATCACCTACTCCTCACCTACTACACTCACCCTCTCCTATATAATGAGCCACTCACCATTTGTAAAATATACAACATCAATACATCAATCAATAATACAATCATTTCTCTTTATACATTAAATTTCTACATAAAACAAACTTAGATAATTTCTTTAAGAAAAAAAAAACTCAAAACATGCACTCACCATATACATATATCTAATTGTCTACCTGGATCTTTTTCTCTTAACTAAGTCAATTTTAAGCATTTAATCAGAGCTGTAATTGTTTCCGATACCTCTCTCTCTCTCTCTCTCTCTCTCTCTCTCATACAAATGTGATCTTCCTTTTATGAACTCTCACCCTTATGTTGAAAACCATCTGCCAATAAAATGAATTTGGAGACTAGAGGTAAATAAAATATATAATGCTTCGTTTGATTTTGAATAGCTTGATATATATTGTTGGGCCTATTTCCTAATAACTTAGGCTTTTGGGACAATTGATGACTTAACATGGTAAAAGAGGTAAGGTTGGGGGAGGTTTTGGGTTCAAGTCACTCTATTTGCATTTGGTCCCTGTTTGTATTCTTCGTCCTCTCTATGTACGTCTGTTTGCATCTCCACATGCAATACAAGGTTGCACTTGAGGGAGGGTGTTGAATAGGATGACATACATAGTTGGGCCCATTTTCTAATGGCTTAAGCTTTTGGTACAATTGGTGACTTAACAATAACTTCCTAACAATGCTTCATGGTGATTGTAGGAGTTGAAGCGATTCCCATCACTTCAATCTGATATAGCAGCAGCAGCGAATGATTCATTGGAAAGATTTCGTGATGAAAGCCGGAAAACAGTTTTGCGGCTGGTTGAGATGGAGTCTACTTATTTGACTGTAGAATTTTTTCGCAAGCTTCATCTTGAACAAGAGAAGCCATCAAATCAGCCTTCAAATACGTCAGCTCCAAATCTGGATCGATATGCAGATAACCATCTCAGGAGAATTGGTAAACAGTTTGCTCTTTGCTTTGACATCAAATGCACTGTTAATGACCCATAATTTTAGCAATTGACCTCACATATGAGCTAACCATCTGCATGCTGCTTATATATTGCATGCATCCGTTTATGGTTATGTTTAAAGTTGCTTGTGTCAACAACTGTAATTTTGTACAAACTGGTTGGATTACTTGCATACTTGAATTATTCCTTTAGATAGTTAATTATTTTTAAGTGGCAATACATAGACGATGCTAGATGCATAAATCCTAGTTTATCGAGGGGAAAAAGAAAACTAAATTCCAAAAAATATCTCTTTTTCTGTCAGGAACAAACGTCACAGCTTACGTTAATATGGTTTGTGATACATTGCGGCTTTCTATTCCCAAGGCTGTTGTTTATTGTCAAGTCCTACAAGCCAAGAGATCTCTCCTCAACCAATTTTACGCTCATGTTGGGAGGAGGGAGGTAAAGTTACTTACAACTTACTCATAAGATGTGCACATTTCATATTCCTTTATCTTTTTCTTTTATATATATATGATCAATTTCCTATACTTTTTGGACCCATAAATGTCAACTTATTGCCGCCCCTCCCCCCCTAGAATTTTGTAAAATAAAAGAGGAACAAAAAAAATATACTGCAGAGATAGCATGTATGCTCTCTTCTGTATCTCTTTTACCTTTTTTAGATCTATTTGATACTATTGCACATTCCCCTTTGGTGACAAGTATCAAGATGTTCCACTCGCGAGATGAAACTCTGGTGGCAAGTAGACTATGATTCTATGAATAATGAAATAAGGAAACCCCTCTTGTGAGCAGAACAGTATCTGCAAGTCTAAGTTTATTGCAATTTTGAGAGAGGCTGATGTAGCTTGAGGTGATTCATCTTTACTTCTAAGTGCCTCTTGGAAAACAACACAATATTAATTAGGTGTTCTAAGTGCCTCTTGCAAAGTTAGGCTGGGGGAAGGGTTGGGAGACGGCGTAAAAAGGCGTGGGTGCTTGCAGGTCATTGCTTAATGTGGTTGGTTTGGCTAGAGCGGAATAGGCTTATGTTTCAGGGAGTATCTCGCTCAGTTTTGTGGCTGGTGGGGCTGTTGCTCACTGTGTTACATAGCTGGGTTATGGTCTCTGTTGATCCGGATGTATTAGCTTTTGTAGATTTTGTTGAGGAGCCGATTAATTAGTCTTTGGATGTTTTTGGGTTGATTTTTGTATTCTTTGCATCATCTTGATACTTTTTAATAATTATTTATCAAAAAAAAAAAAAAAAGTTCAGTTATTAGTAAAGCAATATCATTTACTAATGTTGAAATACGTAACAAGAACAAGAGTTGGGTAGAAACTATATTAATTTCACATAACTAAATTTAAACATACAACAGCCCAGAAAACAACGGTATCAACGAAAATAAAACAACAGGATGCCATGTGAATCATGATGGGGCTAGGCTTCAAGTATGTGCCTTCAACCATGCTATTAACCAAAACATATCATGTGTTCATGAAATAGAGATGTGATTATGGCAGTTAGGAAAATAGGGAATGAGAAATAGAAATTTGAGAATCTTACAGGGTTTTAGATTTGGTTTTTTCATGCCTTTCTAACACATTTGTGAAACCATGTGGCAGCTCAAGAGCACTGGGATTCAATTCTTACAGTTGACGTATTGTCCCCATGAAAAAGAAAAAAAAAAGCCATTGTGATTCTTAACTTAGAAAATTTGTTCTTGCTGTATGTGTAGAAGGAGCTGTTCAGCAAAATGTTGGATGATGACCCATCATTGATGGAAAGAAGAGAGCACATAGCTTAAGAGTTATGATTTAGTGTGAAGAAGAGAGAAGAAAAGAGAGGAAAAGAAAGACCAGTGTTGCTATGTGATAATGAAAAGAGAGTCTCATAAGGGTTCTCTTTCATCTACTAACATCTATATTAAACGAGTCCATAGTACAAATATACCCTTTGGAGGAATAACATGTAAGAAAAATTGATGTATATTATTGATTGATGTATTGATATTTACTGTCTATTACAAATGGTTCCTTATATAGATGTAGGTGTAGGTGTAGTGGGTTAGGTTTAGTGGAGTAGGTGAGGTGGTAGTGGTGGGGAGTGGAGGTGACGGTGGTGGCGATGCTAGTTCTGTCGAAGTTGAGGATGAAGGTTTGAAAATGGTAGAGTCGGAACGTCAGTGATGATGGGGAATTTTTGAGAGAGGAAAGAAAAGCGGAGGAAGAGAAGACTTTGTGGCAGCGGAGTGAAGGTATGTGTACCAATCTCCAGCGGGCAGTGAAGGCAAGGTTGCCGACCGACTGCCCGCCGGTGAGAGAAATATAGGTCTAAATCTTATCTCTGCTCTGATACCATGTAAGAAAAACTGATGTATATTATTGATTGATGTATTGATATTTACTGTCTATTACAAATGGTTCCTTATATAGATGTAGGTGTAGGTGTAGGTGTAGTGGGTTAGGTTTAGTGGAGTAGGTGAGGTGGTAGTGGTGGTAGGTTTATTGATAAATTTTAACATAACATTAGCCTCAACACTAAGAAACTTGAGTTGTAAAAATCAGCAAGAGACGAGATTGATTCAGTTGCATGATAAAAGTGAATACGCACAACATATCACTAGTTTAAGAAACTAATTCCATATTCTTTTGCCCAAAATAATGAAAGCCACGTACTACGATAGTGATTCATCACCAGTTGCGTCACCCATTGTCAAACTCATTAGCGCACAAAATTTTACGTCACACTACATTTGATAAATTGTTCTTCTCATTTTTAGGATGGATATTCATTAATAAACTCTATTTTCTGAGAAAAATATATCAGCCCCACAAATAGTTTGAGCATTTTTATGACTTTTTAACAGTTTCTGATAGCATTGACTGACTGGATTGACCAAGACATTTTCTAGGGCCGCGTGGAAAAGAAGGATTCATGTAGCCGACCCCATTTGATGGGACTTAAGGCTTGGTTTGGTTATATGTGTTATATGCTCTACTATTATAATAAGTAATAACACAAGAATTTTGCAGAAGTTCATAAAATACTAAGGGATGGCCTACTCCCATAGCCAAAAAGGATCCTCTCTCTCTCTCTCTCTCTCTCTCTCTCTCATATATGTGGCTCCCACATATATGATGGTGCAAACTGTGAATGTAATGAAAAATGCAGTGGAAATTGCAATCCCATAAAGTAGTGAAATTATAAAGTTGATCCTTCAAAATTTGATTAATTTTTGGAGTATATTAACTTAATGAATTTTTATTGTTAGGCAATCCACTGTAGACAAGCATTCTAAAGTTTGAAGCTAGTTTTTGTGTAGTCCGATGGTTCATCACTATTGTATTAATGGGAAAGAACTATTTCTGTGTCTTTTTTCAAGATATTGACTAGAGACTAGTGTGAACCAGACTGCCCCTAGAAAACTAAGCGTGTGCAGGTGGACAAGGCTATCAGGCAGTACTTCAAACTCTTCTAAGAATAGTAAAATTTAACAATCTTAAAAGGTTTTAGGTTTTGCATTTTTCATGCCTTTGGCTTGGGTGGAACTGTTGATGTATTGTCCCCATGAAGAAGAAAAAGAGAAGGAAAAAAAACTGGTTTGTGATTCTTGACTTATTAAAGTAGATAAGCTAATCTTGCTGTATGTGCAGAAGGAGCAACTTGGGAAAATGTTGGATGAGGACCCATCACTGATGGAAAGAAGAGATCAAATAGCTAAGAGACTTGAGTTGTACAAGTCGGCGAGAGACGAGATTGACTCAGTTGCATGGAAGTGATTGCCAATTATAAATTTCCCAGACCGGGCAAGCACTGTCTCTCAGTATATGCACAACACATAATGAAAGCCCACACATACTTGAGGCGCATAGAGTGGAGTTTGCTTTATTTTATTTTTTCTTCTTTGTTTTTTCAACATTACGTTTACTTTATTTTGCAATTTGTTTAGTAGAACCTGTTTCAAGTGAAATTATCATAACTTTGCTGGGAATTTTTTAATTCTTTGTATTGATTTCTTTATGCATTCTTTGTTCTTGTTGATGATGTTCTGATAGAAATGGTCACATAGTTGATAACTTTTTCCACTGTTTCTTGTAGACCTTTGTCAAATTGGTATTATCTTCTTCAATTTTGCTCTCTCATGGAAGCAAATACCTTCTATGCTTTCAAAGCTTATTTTACCAATTTTCGAACTTTTTCAAATGGAAAATACTTTACTATTTACATAATTTCTTTTAGGATTTGACTCATTTCCAATTGAAAGTTGAAGACAGATAAAATTTCTAACCAGTAAGAGTTATTAAACGGAAAACTCTTATCAGTAAGAGTTATAAAAACATGGTCCAGTTGAATTTTTTTAATGACTCTTACCCGTAAGAGTATTTTGTTTAATGACTTTTACCGGTCAGCGTCTTTCATTTAATGACTATTACCGGTCAAAGATCTCACCTGTGTTTAGTTTTCAATTGAAAACAAGCCAATCTCTTTTTTTACTACACTTTGTTTTAAAATTGTGAGTCCCAATGTGGTCATTCTCTATACAAATTTTGTATTACGTTTGTTTAGCACCACTCTTGTCAAATTTAACTGTTTTATTTGGTACAAAACTTAAATCATAATACTGGTATATTATTCTATATACAAATTTTATTTTACTTTTTTTTTCTTATTTTTTTATATACCATAGCTCTTGTTTAAATTGAACTTATACAAAACTTAAATCTCAATGCAATCATATTATTTTGCATACTTTTTCTTGTATAGCATTACTCTTGTGAAATTTAACTAGTACCACCACTACCACTATTACTTTTACAACTATCAAAATTATCATAATTTATATAATTTTTAAATTGATTGTTAATAATAATAATAATAATAATAACAATAATAATAATAAATTTATTCTATTCCACTAGTTTAATATATACTAACGATTGGCACATGCAATACATGCAATTTAAATAAGTAAAAATAAAACAAAATACTTATTATAAGTTATGTACGGTTTAAGTAGTAAAAGTGTTTTGCATTAAACCTAAGGTTCTAAATTCAAGTCTTTCCAACTTTGGAGAAACAATCTGTGTTTGGTTGTGATTTGAAATTACAATTCTACACCTTAATTCAAGCATGGTGTTTGGTTGTGATTCTCAAATGATGTTTTGAGAACTCTGCACAGAACACCTGCGTTGTTCTGTTTTTGACAGACGTGTTTTTCCTTTTGTTGGGGAAAATCTTGCTTGGCGGGGACGTCTGGCCGGTTGACTGGCCGGCTGCCCGGAACAGTAATTTTTTTATTTTTTTTTGCAATTGATTTATATAATCGAAAAAAATATTTTATGAAATTTTTAAAAAATTTTATGTGCTTTAAAATAATTTTGAGTTGTATGTTTAGTTATGAGTTGTAAATTTCTGTATCACATATCAAATATCACATCAATAATTTTCCATTCAAATCAAAACTCTTTTCAAAACTATTTTCAAAACTCTTTACTAAACAAATTTTCTACACTTAAATCATAATTCCACAACATACAACTTTAAAATACAACTCATACTCTCAAATCACATTTACAAAACACAACCAAACGCACAGGAGATTTCAAGGCATTAATTGCAGCCTTTACTGTATATAATAACATAGATAGTATAGATGTATTATTGTGACATTTAATGTTAGCAACTAAATAATAAAATGAGAATAGATATTTCATTTATAATGTCATTTATGGATTTTAGGCCCCATTTGGAGTGGTGTCTTTTTGGTGGTTTGAGTTTGCTTATTTAGTCAGGATAAAAACAAAGAAAATTAAAAAAGAAGTTTGTTTATTTAGTGATATTTTGATTTTTTATAAAAAAAATCTATAAAAAGGTAGAAAGGTATTATGATAAATTGTAGCAAATAAATCAATCCTAAAATAATTAAAAAGACAAAACATTCAATCACATTGATCTCTCTACTTTTTGACACATCTTTTTATAAAAAATAAAAAATTAATTAAAATAATAATTTTTTAATTACACATCTTTTTATAAAAAGATAAAAAAAATCAATTAAAATAGTCACATTCCAAACACCATATTATTAATGAAAAGGACTAATTTGTTATGTAAATTTAAATTTAAAAAAGAGTTATGTGAATAAATATTTGATCAAATTTCTCACATGAGTGAAGGATCTACACTCATGTAAAATATTTGATAAAATTTTTGAGATCTTTAACATTTTTTGATTAAAAAAAAAAAAGTATCTTATATAAAAGTTGTAAATTTGATATGAGCCTAATTTTCACATAAATTTACATAGAGAAAGATTATCGAATTATCTCTTAATAATATTTTTACGTTAAATATGAGTCTAATTTTCACATAAATTTACATAGAAAAAGATCATTGAAGATCATTTGATCATCGAATTATCTTTTAGTAATACTAGTTGGTGGCACACACACGATGTGTGTGCAATTTAAATAAGTAGGAATAAAAAACAATAATAATGAAATTAATATTATAATGTGTACTTAGCTTAAGTGGTATTTTTTTAAAAAAATAAAAAATACTGCCACATGGCATGAGGAGAGTAAAGCTTCAGGACACCATAAGAGTTATGTGTTCACTTTATAATAGTATAGATAGATAGATAGATTTTTCCTAATTTTCACATAAATTTACATAGAAAAAGATAAATTTACATAGAAAAAGATCATTGAAGATCATTATCTCTTAGTAATATTTTTATTTACATAGAAAAAGATAAATTTACATAGAAAAAGATCATTGAAGATCATTATATCTGAGTAATATTTTTCCTAATTTTCACATAAATTTACATAGAAAAAGATCATTGAATTATCTCTTAGTAATATTTTTACATTATATCTTAGTAATATTTTTCCTAATTTTCACATAAATTTACATAGAAAAAGATCATTGAAGATCATTATCTCTTAGTAATATTTTTATTTACATAGAAAAAGATAAATTTACATAGAAAAAGATCATTGAAGATCATTATCTCTTAGTAATATTTTTATTTACATAGAAAAAGATAAATTTACATAGAAAAAGATCGCTTTCTCACTTTCTCTCTCTTCGTGCTCTAAGCATTCTTCCACATATCTCGATCATCGAACCCCCCAACTCGATCGATAAACTCCCAATTACTTCTCCAAGTTCGTCGATTAACCAACTACAACATCGATTCCAGCTCAGATCTAGTTCCAAACAGTGCTCAAAATTGTCTTCTCCGATGTAATCACCTTCCAGTTGTTGTAGATCTGGCCTGCAACAGTAGTGATGTTGATCCGCAGTGTTGCGAATTGGAGTGGAATTGAACTTTGGAGAAAGTAGGGAGAGAGAGAGAGAGAGAGAGAGAGAGTAGAGATTGAAGTTGTTTTGTGGCATTTGAGAGTGGAATTGGAATTTTAGGGTTTTGTTGGTTGCTAGTTATGGCTGCTCTGCAGAAGCTGCTTCAGTCGAGCACGACTGCGAGCAACTGCGGGTCGCCGTCATGCAAAGCTGAGGCGGCTGTTCCCGATCAGTTTCCAGCAGGTTTGAGAGTTCTTGTTGTGGATGATGACACTACTTGTCTGAGGATTTTGGAGCAAATGCTTCGAAGATGCATGTACCTTGGTGAGTCCTATTTGTTTCTCTGTTTTACTTTTAGTTAATAAGCACTTTTGGGGTGTCAGTTTGAGCTTGAGATTGGATATTGTAGTTTTTGGTTTGTGCTTAAGTTTCTTGTGAGAGTAAAATTTGTGTTGGTTTTGATACGAGGCGAATTGGGTTTTGTCTACTTGGCGTGTAGAAGTAATCATGTGGATAAGTTTGATGGGTCAAAAAATATTTATCTAATTGACTATGGCGATGAACTTTAACTTTGTTGTTCAAGTTCTTCTTGTTAGGAATTGACTCTTCCTAACCACATCGGTGAGACACAAAATAACAAACGAGAAAAATAAAATGAATTGAAGAAATTGCACACACAATAACACAACGATCTACGGGTGCACCCCAGAATAGGGCTATGGCCACGATTTCACTATGATTAGAAAACAATACAACTCTCAACAACACAAGAGGCATCCCCTTCATTTATTCATAAGCATAGAATTAGGGCAACACAGAAGCAATAAGAAACTAACAAAGTACCCAAAAATTTGGGCCGGGGGAAGCCCCACCCAGGGCCCAGTGAGCAGTACTCATCATGGTCCACAAGACCCAATAGTTCTGAATATGTTCCATTTTGTTATGGGTGTTAATGATGTGAGTCATGGAGGATGGGGTTTCCATAGTTCAACTCATTGATTTGGATTATAGGACATTTGGGTCAACCTGGAACTATGTTTTGGCCTTTACCTTGTTATCCTAGTTGACTTGGTCGCTAGAACTTTGCCTTTTGTAGTTCCACTTATCAAACTCTGATTCTCTTACAATTGTATTTGCATTTCGTGTGTGCAACATCATTGTATAGTCTTGCCAGGACAACCCATGTTTATCTCTGCTGCTTTTGCACTACCACACCACAGACTTGCTATCTCTATGGCAGCCATCACTACCTCCACCTGCATTGCATGTTTGAATAATGTCCTCCTTTGTCACTAACATTTCCATCACTCAACCAATAACATGTCTTTACTACCACTAGGAACTTCAGCATTACCATATGGCTGAGCCACCCTAACATCGATCACTAACATGGTCTCATTGCCATTACCATTGAAAACTTCTACACCAACATGTAATAACTTCTAAATGACATTTTTTACCAATACACGCACTTCACTATAGCCCTTGCAGGCACCACCACCAGTAGTATCACTTAGCCTTTGCAGCCACTAACTTCTACACCTACAGTTTCTTCCTCTTTCACACTTTCCACGAGGCCAACTTGTTTACTTGCTAGGTTATTCTCCTGGTGCTAAGTTTGTTGATTTTGTGGATCCATGGGGAACCTTTTAACTGAAGGTTACTGCAAATTTTTTAATCAAAATCATGCTTTTGAGATTTTTGACATTTATCTATGATAAAAGGCATTAGTGCATTACTATTGATCAGACCGATTTTTTGTACAAAATATTATTTGATGCAACTTTTCCTTCTGTTCTTTTGACTAATCTGTAATTGCTTGCAGTTACAACTTGCTCACAGGCCACCGTTGCTTTGAACTTGTTACGTGAGAGAAAAGGTTGTTTTGATGTGGTACTGAGTGATGTGCATATGCCTGATATGGATGGCTTTAAACTTCTTGAACTTGTTGGGTTGGAGATGGACCTGCCTGTCATTAGTGAGTAGTTCTTCTCATTTGCTAATGGTGGTTTAACTCCTGTTCTGTAAATTAACATAATTTTTCTTTTGCAGTGATGTCAGCTGATGGAACAACCAGTGCAGTTATGAGGGGAATCAGACATGGGGCTTGTGATTATCTAATTAAGCCTATACGTGAAGAAGAGTTGAAGAATATATGGCAGCATGTTGTAAGGAAAAAGTGGAGTGAAAATAAAGAACATGAGCACTCAGGTAGCTTGGATGATAATGATCGGCATAAACGAGGAAGTGATGATGCTGAATATGCTTCTTCTGTGAATGAAGAAACAGAAGGATTATTAAAAACACAGAAAAAGAGAAGAGAAGCCAAAGACGAAGATGATGGTGAATTGGAAATTGATGATTCAGCTACAGCAAAGAAGCCTCGTGTTGTGTGGTCAGTGGAGCTCCATCAGCAATTTGTTGGTGCAGTGAACCAACTTGGGATTGATAGTATGAGCTTCGACAATTTATGCCTTATATTACTTTTTCTCTAATATTTTTTTTATATGACTTATTTTTTGATAATTAATAAAATGTATTAGACAGGCACCAAAAAGGGGGCACAAACCCTGTACACAGATGTATACATCAAAATTTATAATTCTAAACTCCACAAGAATATAAACTCCACTAGAATATACAATTCCCCAAAAACTCTACAAGTGAGTCAAGATCAAAAGGAAAATCATCTCTTAGAAAAAAAAATACAGAGACACGAGGAGCTTTCCTTTCAATTACAAAATAAAGCTCTCCTCAATCTCAAATGACGTCGTTTGTTTCATCCCATGAAAGTGGGGTGGTCACCCAAGCCTTCTTGCTACCACGAACGGCGCCATGTGGCCTTTAATGTAGTTAGGGGTGAAATCGGTCCGGTCCGGTCCGGTCCGGTCCGGTTGGGGTTTTTGGACATCACCACTCATTGGACACTTATCGATGTGTTTTGGACACATTTCCAAATGTGCACATTACAAGTTTGAACAAAATAACTTAAAGAATTCAATGATAAAAAAATGTAGATTTATATCTATTACTCCCTCCTTTAAACTTTAAAAATTGGAGTTATGTTGCATTTTTTTATTATATTTGAATGAAATATTCGTATATATTACATACAATATATAAACTATATATTTTTGCTTGTGTCCCCACATACCGTGTCCTGCATTAAAAATCGCTGAGTTGGCATGTCTATGTTGTCTTCGTGTCATGTCTCCGTGTCTGTGCTTCTTGGAGGCCAGCATAAAGAAATCCTCCCAGATCTTCATGATACTCTTCGAAATCCCCCACACCATAACTACCCCTTCTATAGTTAGTTCTTCTACCGCCCATCATGGACCTGTACTTACCCATTATCACCTTCCTCCAAAGATGGTCCCTCTCTATGGAGAACCTACACAACCACTTTCTCAACAACGCCCTGTTGAACTAGTCAAGCTTCTTAATCCCCACCTCTCATCCCTTCAAAGGCATACACATCATCCTGTAACTACCAAATGATATTTAAATTCATCCCCCAACCCGTCCCATAAAATGTCCCTCATCAGGTTTTGAAGCCTCCTTGCCACAGACATAGGCACAGTGAAAAGAGATATAAAATGTGTTGGCAAGTTGAATGAAGTGCTTTGGATGAGAGTAACTTGCCCTCCTTTGAAAAATACAGCCTCTTTCAGTTAGCTAACTTTTTTTCATATCTTTTCACCAAAACATCCCATGCCTTTGGATTTGAAAGGAGACTTTTAAAGCAAACCCAAGTAGGATGATCACAGAGTCCCAACCTTGCATCCCAACACCCTAGCTAACTTGTCAATGCTGTAAACCTCATCTACATGAGTGGGCTCACTCTGGGTCAAATTAATGTGAAGACTATACACTGCTTCAATTGATGGTAGTGTGCCTCAAATGTCTCAACTCCTACTCTTACCCTACAGAGTATAATGGTATCATCTGCAAATATAACAAGTACAACAGAGACACCAATAATCCTCCTTATTACGCCCCTCAAAACCCACAACAAATTGCTAACCTAAACTCTAGTGAGCAGCGGCTGAACGCTCCATAACTAATAAACAAAGAGGGGAAAGGAGATCTCCTTGCCTTAAGCCCCTAGAGGTATTAAAGAAGCCTCTTGGGGTTCCATTCACCGCAACTGAAAGAAACATCGTACAAATGCAGAAGTGGATCTAGCTTTTTACATCTCTTACCGAAGCCCATCTTGGCTAACACAAAAGGCAAAAAATCCCAACAGATGTAATCATAAGTCTTTTCCATCAAAATTGCAAATCCCCGATAAACCGCTCGAGTCTTGCATCTATGCACTCCACCAATGTTGCATCAAGATTCCACCTCCCCTCAACAAATGCATTTTGAGACACAGAAATAACCTGCCCAATAATTCTTAACCTCATTGCCAAGACTTTCACAATGAGCTAATACACACTTCCCACGAAATTGACCAGTCTGAAGTCCTTGTATCTTCTGTTCCTCTCTTCTTCGGAACTCATAACCACATCCCGAGACACATCTCCAACCTTTGTCTCCTACAAGCATACTTAATCCCCTCTCCATTTCGTCACCAAACTCTTCACCACCACTTTCTTATCCGTGTCATTAAGACCCCTCATATTCCATGAAATAATGTTGACCTTCATTAAGAAACAAAAGGAATTACCCCCCCGTTGTCCTTTAAGCTACCCCCCCCCCCCCACCACTTCTCTTATCCCCCTTCTTTTTCATAGTTAAATGTTCTTTGGCTACCACACTTCCTTTTCTTGATTTATATGAATATTTTCTTGGGATAAAGACTTGAAAATTTGATTTTTAATTTAAAATACCATTGAAGGGGTGGTGTTGGTTAAAGAGTTGCAAATTATTGATATTTTCCTGTCAAATGTGATAAATTGCAAGTTTGATGTTTCTTTCTTACTTCACTAATGAGATTCTGTCTTCCATTTCAGAGGCCGTTCCAAAGAGAATTCTTGAATTGATGAATGTTCCTGGTTTAACTAGAGAAAATGTTGCAAGCCATTTGCAGGTTTGAATCTCTCCGGCATATGAGTTGTCTTCGATAAACTTTGATAAATTTTTTATTTTTGGAAAATTTAGGAATAAATGATACTAAACAGTATATAAACATACCCTGTGGAAAGGCTCAAGGGCAACAATCTCTGTTATCATAATCTTACAATTCACAGAAACTTGAATTAATTTCTGGATGTACTGTACTTAGAAATCTGGATAATAAGTCAGAAGTTTCTCAGAAAACTTGAATTACTTTCTGTGCATCTCTAGAGATTTTTCCCCTTTCTACAAGAGTGCTACAAGGTCCAAACTTATTTTGTAAATTAGTCAAAACTAGATTCAATTTTTAAAAGCTTGATCATCTATCCTAAGTTTAGGCTTTTGTGTTGTGTATGTGCACATGTGCATATGTATGTTGTTTGAAATAGGTGAAAGGTGAATATTCAACTGCCAAAGTACATCTCAATTTCTTTCTTATCTAAAACTTGAGCTCCACTATGCAGCTCATAAAAGAAAACCTTACAATCTTCCATTACATACTTGTACCAGCTAAACAATCTTAGCACTCATTTTCCTCTATTCATGAGTTGTTTAATTTATGAGTTGAAACTAATAGGTGGACTTATATTGAGTTGGATTTTTCTGCAAAGATGAGATCCTTTTGGTGGAAAGCACTTAAGTTGGTAATATGTCTTGATCATGTCTATCTAAATCTTCTTGCTTTGTTGGCTATGCCACTTGTCAACCCTTTTCTAGCCATGGTGTAATTGCCTTAATACCACTGAAACATTTTCTTCTCTTATCCAAAAACGTTTCATAGGAACAAAGTCAATTAGAGATGTACAAATTTTATGAAAGGCATTTTTTTTTATATAAAAAACTGCATGATGATCGAAGAATTACAAGAGGCAAAATCCTTCGCAACTTTGTGCATTGAGCTGCATGTGACAACAATGGCCAAGATGCTGATTGTAATTTGCACCACATCTATGTACCACCAAGCCATAGAAAGTCTTTTTTGCAAGAAGGTTGTACAAAAGGCAAAATCCTCCATTATTTTGTGCACTGAGCTGCACGTTTCTCATGTTGGGCAATATCTAAGTACTCTCTAGGACCTTGGAGCTGTGGCATCATTGCATGTTCCTGCAATTATGTTATGGGTAAAGTTCTGTCTAAGGAAACTTGTCAATGACATACAAGACATGGGTTTGAACTATCAAGTCGGAAGCGTGCATGGAGTGAGCTCTTCTGTGTTTTGTGGTGAGCTTAAGTATTTTAGAAGGAAGTGTAGAGGCTTTGTGGGATAGGGCTGAATATTTGGCTTCTTTTTGGGCTTTTGTATCTCCTCCTTTTAAAGGAGTCCCTTTGTTTTTGATTTCTAGGGATTGGGCTGCTGTTTGCCATTCTTAGAGTTTGGAGTTTTGTGATTGGTTTTGCTTTTTCTTCTTCTTTTTTCTCTCCTTGTAAGAGGACTTCTTTTCCTCTCTCTTTTCCGTTTTAATAAAATTTTGTTGTTTCTCAAAAAAAAAGAAGGAAACTAATACAAGAGGGAAAAAGGGCAGGATTATGTTGGAGAGTCAAAGCTGCTGATCCATTAAAGATCGATAATGATTTGTATAACATGCTTCTAGACATGTTTCTTTTGTTGAGGCTTGTAGGATACATTGACTTGATTTGAGTAACAAAATGCTCTTTTCTTGAGTAAAACTCACATAACTGGACACGTGGAGCAACTAGTGAAAAACAATACAAGTTTGGCTAAATACCTGTAAATTCTAGATAGTGCTAAAGCTGCCGGTTGCAGTATTTTGTTACAAGCTTAAAACTTAATATACAAGTAGTAAATACTGCTGCTTATGTTCTGTGATTAATCCTCAAATTTCCAATTTTCAGTTCTAAATCCGTGTAATTTCAATATGCAGAAATTCAGATTATATTTGAAGAGGTTAAGTGGAGTAGCTCAACAAGGTGGGATTCCTAATCCGTTTTGTGGGCCAATAGAACAGAATGCAAAACTGGGTTCATTAGGAAGATTTGATATTCAAGCTTTGGCTGCTTCTGGCCAAATTCCTCCACAAACACTGGCAGCTTTGCATGCTGAGCTTTTAGGTCAACCAACTGGTAACATTGTGTTTCCTGGAATGGACCAGCCACTACTACAAGCATCCCTACAGGGACCCTAATGTAAAGATCCTGTTGATCATAGTGTGGCATATGGTCAGCCTTTGATGAGATGCCCATCCAACATTTCCAAACAGTTTCCACAAACCATCATAAATGCTGAGGATGTTCATTCAGGACTAGGAGCATGGCCATCTAATGGACTTGGTACTGTAGGTCCCAACAGCAATCTTGGTGGCATGGGTGCTCAAAGTGGTAATATTTTAATGGGTATGTTCCACCAACAGCAACAGCAACAGCAACAGCAACCACGCCAGCAGCAGCAGCAGCAACAACAGCAACAGCAACAGCAACAGAAACTGTCTATACTACCAGAACCCAGCCGATCAATTAATGTGCAGCCTTCTTGCCTGGTGGTCCCTTCTAAGTCATCAACCATTTTTGAAGTGGGAAAGAATCATGATTCGGTTAATCAGAACTGCAGCTTTACTAGAAGTTCTGTTATCGATTACAGCCTTCTCTCACCTCATTCAAATAATCCCTTGTTTGGTGCTGGGCAACTATCGGATGGGGATCTGAAAACAACAGGCGTGCGTAATGGGTACTCGGGTCCTGGTTCCATATCTCCATCTGTGTCATCTTGCTCCATAAATGCTGATAACGGTGCTAATAGGCAACTTCAGAACTCGACCATGGCATCTAGTTCTGGCAGACAGTTGCCAGGGCTTGCTCCAAATATGTGTGATATCCAAGCTTCTTATTGCACCAAGTCAGATCAAGTGCTTGATCAGGGACCACTAAGAAATCTTGGATTTGTTGGTAAAGGAACTTCCATTCCAAGCCGGTTTGCGGTGGATGAACCTGAATCACTAATGAGCAACTTGAATTATGGAAAGATGTATGGGGAGAACAATGGAAGCAAAGTGAAGCAGGAGACAAGTATGGATTTTATGGAGAATGGAAAAGTGAGCATCCCAATACTACAAAATTTTTCACCAAACGAGCTCATGAGTGTTTTCTCTGAATAGGTAACCTAGTTTGCCTGGGTATTATGAATTTCTTACTTTTTCAATGACTTCAATTATTATCGCTCATTTTTTTCTTCTTATGTGGTCCATTTAATTAATTAAGTAGTACACGACTTAAGAAGCATAAATACAAACATGGGACATGTATATGATATGATATGAACACGGCAACATGGTAATTCTCATAAAATCAAGTCATGGCACACTGGGAGACCACAATAGATATACATTTATATATAGTATACACACATGAAAATAACAACAAATTCTTCATTTTTTTATGATACAGGTATATTTATATTTTATTATATCAAAATAGTAAGAAATCATTTTGCACATTCTATATCTTGAAAAGAAGTATAAAGATCCTAATATTTATTTCAAAAACCTTTATGCTGTGTTTGGTTGAGGGATTTGAGGAGGGATTTGGAAAGAGAAATGGAAAAGGTAGGTGAAATGTGAATAAAACATACTTATATTTCACCTAGTTTCACACACCTTTTCTATTTCCCTTTCCAAATCCCTCTTCAAATCCCTCTTCAAGTGTATCTTGAAGAGATGCATAGATACTTCTAAGAAAGTTCCTTGTCCAGGTCAAACACAAGTCGGATAATGACACTCCTGAAGGCATGTGAGACATACCTCGACATATGTCATACACACATCCAATCGTATCATATCGAGAATACAAACATACTTCGAACACTTGAAGATACAAGTCTCCATGTCAATCACTTAGAGGCACATGAAATACATTGCAAGCTTGAAGAAAATTACTTAGAAAACAACAATGTAAATTTATACCTATTAATCCCCCTTCTAATTTTTTTAGATTAAGGAACCCAAAAGCCTAACGCTGTGTGTGACTATCATAGAAGCGTAGACATGGACATACGATCCAAATGACTATATAGACAAACTGACATGGAACATTTTAAAATATCAGGACATGAAAATAAAAAAAATAAAAAAAATGCTATAGAAATGCGTGAAACGATGAGTTCTTTATTTTTTACATTAGAATATATTTATATTATATTAAAATACTAAAAAAGTATTTTTCATATTTTTATATTGCAAAAAGTATGAACAAAAAGTCATAATATCTATTTCAAAAAAAGTAGAGTTTTGGTTTTCAATTTCCTTTAATTAAAAAGCATAAAAGAGAAAGAATTAATATGTATAAACGCATATTAAGTTCAATGGTGTCTTGAGTCTTCACAATGAATTTGTTAGGGATATCATATAGATAACGACTCGTCAGTGAGAAATTTACTTGTGCTTTTGCATCCAATGCATTTTTTTAAATTTTTTTCTTTTATATTCGTATACTACTGGTTGAATATCTAATTTAAGTTTTATCTGCAACAGGCTTGCATGACGCCAAAAGTTATATTCCAGGAAGTCTCCCTGATTTCCATGGAGGACAAGAAGAATCGTATCACCAAAAGTTAGGAAGAGATTCCAGTTAAAAATGTTATATTTATTTTACGTAGACCTGAAGTGCTTCAGTGCTTCTACCACTCTCAAACGAAGAATTGAGGTATAAAAAAAAATTACAAGAATGCTGTTGTGAAGATAGTTGTCTGAAAATTGCTTGGACAGCTTATTTTTTTTTATACTTCCATGCAAGTATTATTATTACCTTTTAACTAGTGTTTAGGGAATAAGTCGGCAAAAACTCCAGCCGGTTGAGCTGTTCTCTCCACCATGAAGGCATCTCGCTGACATAATTGTGTAGTTTGAGGCTTCTGATGCTAGAATGCTCATTTATTTATTACCCATTGAATCTTGAATTTGGAAAATTATATATAGTTATTGTAAGCTTGTAAATTATTTTAGTTTAGTTGTCATTATTATGGTGCTTTGCATACTGTTGGTCATGCTGTTTTTCTGCCCTATGACCTTGCCACACTTAAATCATGAAACACTGATGATTACACAAAACAAAACTCACTTTGTGTGCTATGCATCTGCATTCATCAATGGTTGCTTTGTGGATTTCCTTGTCAACTCCAACAGGTTGAGGTGGTCTCCTACACGATGGCATTAACATTTTTATTTATTTAGTTGTTTATTAATGATGAGGAATCTTACCCTCACAACCTTGGTGGTTTTTGATGCAGCTTATGGGACAATTTATAATTTTTTTTTTTAAATTTGAAAATTTTGTGACAGTATTTGGTATAATTTCTACTTAATAGTTTTTGAAATGAAAATAACTTAAGTAAGTTTAAAAAACTGATTTTGTTTTTAATTATCAATTTTTAACTTACAAGAAGTTTCACCAAACAGGTCGCCTCAATAGTCAGGTACTACCTACCTAAGCTTTAAGTGTCACCATAATTTTGACCTTGTAAAGATAGAGTTGGGCTATGTTTGGGTACTTGGGACCAACCAGATGGAAAAGTTATAAATTGTTGAGAACTATTTACAGAGTTGGGCTTTGTTTTGACATGTTTAGTTTTAAAAAAATTGATATACAAGTTTATTTTTTAGAATAATACTTGGGACTCTTACAATTTATGATCCCCACCACCCTCAATTGATTTATAATCACTCATTTATTTATTTTATTTTTTTCCCTCTTTCTCCTCACTCTCTCTCAGAAAAACTGTGGGGGTGCTGGGGGTCTCTAGCACCTTTGTATTTTTCATATTTATGTTTAAGATTTAATAATATATAAGTGATATGATTGGTTAATAATTATCGAAGTTGTGAGAGAGTATTATTTTTAATATCTTAATTGATTATCACATCACTGAATTTGAAAATTAAGCCTAATTTTTTATTTTAAATAACAATACTGGTACTTTTATATATCTGTATAAGGTGAGAATCTGAAGGGGATTGCCATTGTCTAAATTGGGTTGTGTTTGAATTTTTGGTAATGATTTTTACTTTTTAAGAAAAGCTACTCCAACTGGTTCACAAAAGAGAATATGAAGGGGCTTGCCATTGAAATTCATTTTTCAGCTTATCTATTTTTTATTTTTATTTTTTTTTGTATTTTTTTGAGTTTCTCCACTTGGATCTTTTAGCTTATCATTCTCTTCCTGAACATTTTTCTAATTTTGGTTATATTTGGATAACTATGTTTATGTTCACTTATTAATGCAGTTTACCCTTTCCTCAAAAAATTTTAGTTATATTTGGGACTTGAACAAACATAGAAATGACTAATTTTGTTAAACGGACTGATTATTCTAAGCTAAGATGTCATTTTTTATAAGTTTGTAGGGTCAAGATTATCCATATATATATTTAGTTTTTCAAATTTAGTGGCATCAATTTACTAGTACCAATGTTTGTGGTGTGATCTGTGGGTGCAAATAGACAAAATTAATATTAAAATTATTTTTTAATAAATTTTTCAAAATTGTTTGATGGGTCAATTGCCTTCATACTCTATAACTTGGCACCACCTCTGAAGGTAGTGGCTAGAGATGATGATGGTGAATGTGAGTTAGGGTTTAGACGATTGAGAGTGTTAAGTGTAAAAGTTAGAGATAATGTATATTTTAGAAGCAATATGTGCAGTTCATTCATGAAAAAAAAAATAAAAAAAAATCAGTCTAACTCAATAACTGTAATTATATGATTTTTATCATAAATGTTTGGTAGCATATTTTTTAAAATTATTCTTGTCATCCATTTATTTGTTTGATAATAAATGATGTGATTATAATTTATTAAATTTTTTAAAAATTATAAATAATTTATGCACATAATTATAAAGATGAACAGACCAATCATAAAAATGGACTTTTGTGGTAGGCCATGTGCCAGCAAAATGTTCGAGTAAGGCAATTCGTCTATACCTTATCTTACTGAATAACAAGGCTCTCAACATGAGACTGAGAGTGCCCCCCCCAATCACTAACAATGTTGAAGTACTACCACAGATACACTAGTGGTGCTACATCTACACTAACCACCTCCTCGTCACCTCCTCTCTTATTCTTATCTCTTCCTTCAAACTATTACAATCTATCCTACACAACCACAACCTTGAGGATTTGCTTTTTTTCCATTAGAATTACTGCTCTCAAATTCGGCTTCCAAGAAGTTCGGAGGAGCACTCATTGTAGGGCGAGGCGGAGAGTAGTGAGATACAATGATGAAGACGAAGATGACGACGATGAAGAATTTGAATATGGGCACAATGCAGAGATAGCAATGTTGGAATTGTATAGTCAGTCTGCTAGAGATGAGGCACTTCTTGTTACAGCATCTGTGGATGACCAAGATGCACTAGTTCTCATTTTCAAGGTTAGCTAATTTTATGACAAATTATGCCGATAGTCCAGTATATTGATTGTTATGTCATTTTAATTTTTATAATTTTAAGAAAAATTACACCAGTACTTCTTACATTTTGATTCTTATACCCTTAATTAATTCAATTTTGATCCTTAATTTTAGATTTTATGTCAATTTAGTGTAATTGATAAATCATAAAGAAATAAACCCGTGAGACCAGCGATGGGTTGCTCATCATATAATCACACAAGAAATAAATTGTTAGAGAAACTAAACATTTATGTTAAAATGTATTAGAATTTCCCTTTTTCTTCTCTATTCTCTAGTATAGTTTCAATTTTCAAATGTTGTGTTTGGTAATTTACAGGGGTTCTCATCGTGCTTGAGCTATAAGACTAGTCCAGACCCATCAAGAAGTGTTCTTCCAAAAAGGGCAGTGATCAAATCCATTGACAGAATTAGAGGGCCTTTTGACCCCTCTAATATTGAGTACCTAGAGCAAGGATTGACTTGGGAAACTTTTAAGACTCGTCTCCACCCCAATTAAACAACCAAAGCTCATGCGACTTGGTTTTTTAATTCTAAATTCTTCTTTATTAATTTTCTGTATCTTCTGCAAATAAAGTATGTAGTTACAAAGAAATTTATATGACATTTGGGCCATAAATCTAATTTTTATACTTTTGAGATAATAGTCTTAAACTTTATTCTTTTGGGGTTAAAAAGATAAAATAATTTGAAAGACTATATTACTCTTACCTATATGTCTATCTCTCCGCTGTCCACATCACCTATTTGTTATTCACATCACCAATCTATCCATTTGTCATTCCCTTATGGGGAACTTACTGATAAGTCTCATGTACTAAGTTCAAAACCCAGCTAATCCCAAAACAAAATACTTGCACCAATTAGTCTAATACATTTTTAATTGTTACCAAAAAATTCTTTTTTTTTAAAAAAAATTTACAGACACTGTTCACATTTTACTACCGTCGGACTTCCGTCAAACGGTCGCCGGAGACTCGTCGGAATGTTCAACATCGCCGGAGACTCGTCGGAATGTTTAAAACATGTTATGAAACTGTAAAATTTTACAGTTTTAAAAAATGTTATAAAACTGCAAAATTTTACAATTTTAAACCATGATTCATTCCAGCACCAAAAAAAAATTTTGAAACTGCAAAATTTTACAGTTTTCACTGCCTGTAACTAAAGCTCGAAAACTACTTGTTCAGAATTCGAAAATTTTCTCCATTAGAACAGAAAAACAGAAGTGTATAGCAGAGAAAAAAAAAAGAGAAAGGCAGATGTAGAGAGAGGATTGTACTCCGACAACTATTTTTTGTTTAGATCTAGTCAAATTTGATGTAGATCTACTCAGATCTGGTGTAGATCTACACCAGATCTAAGTAGATCCACTCATCTTCTTTGTCGGAAATATATATCTTCGCCGTCGGTGAGAGTGAAATCACGAGTTGATTTCGATGGTTGGCGGTTATCAGTGAACCCCGATCAATGGAGAAAGACATGAACACTTGCACCATCGTCTATGACGCAGACGATGAGAGAATAATGTAGAAAAAAAGAGAAAGAAGAAAACGTAAAAAGGGAGGAAAAAACCAGAGAGATGGAGGAAAGGACTTTTGGGTGTACTCAAAAAGTTATGGGATTAAATGGTGTCCACATGTTCCACATGGGACCTATAGGTAATTTCCCCTTCCCTTATTTGTCCATCTAATTTTTCTATGTATCCATTTTACCACCACTACTCGCCGTCAGCCACCGCCAACGATTTTTTCAGCACCAACAATGGTCCGACAATGATCTAGCGGCAATAGAGTAAGAATAATAATAATTTTTTTTTTAAAATGATAATTTATCCTTCTCACTAAATAATTTCATTAATCATGTCCTTATGTACATAAAAGATCAATCCTTGAACCTAATGCAATATCCCATAGAAATGGATTTATCACCAATAAACAAAAAATTTATATGTGCAATATTTGATTAGAGAAATTTATCAAACAACCAACACCAAAGAAATGTCTAATATAAAATTTATCTGTTAGAACTCAAACATCCATGTCTTTCACAAGTGAATTTTTTTATAAATTGTATAGGCAAAGTAATTTGCTTGATCAACAGAAAACACAAATAAATTTTATTTGTTCAATCTATGTGAATGTTTTTTTATATAATTTTATAGTTGACATGGATAGACCCACGAGGCATACAGACATGGATAGGCCCACGAGGCATACAGCCCACGGCAAACCGCCCCGAACCCATCGCCTCGGACCCATAGCATAACTCGATTGACAAAGCCCAGGACAGCTGGAGTCCACCTGGACGCGGAGGGCCAAGGGCATTCGAACACGTGACAGATGAGACACAGGCCACATCAGCAGACAAAGATCTGCAGAGTTATTGTCACAACACATCACCATTAATGCAGCCCATCACAGCATTTATTACGGCAACACTCCCCCGTCGGAACAGAGCCCCCTCACCTTGAACAAGGTAAGCTACGGCACAGGCTTTCGGCGGAAAGGGGGGCACGTCACAAAGGACAGTGAAATGATTACCAAATGATATAAGCAACAAGAGAAGCACAAGAATAAGGTTAAGCTTTTCATCTCTCCTTCTCCTTCACTACATTTTCCTGTTTTTCTTCTACTAATTCTCTCACCGGAGGTTCACTGGGGGACTGCCCCGTTCCCCTTTGGACTTGTTTGCAGGTCACTTGACGGAATCACCACCCCAAACCGAAACTTGAAGAACCTGGGCTAGCCTGACCCATCCACCCGGGACGGACTGTATCATCAGTGGCGCCGTCTGTGGGAACTTAGTGGTTTATCCGTGCGCTAGTTGTGTTCACTACCGCCGGAGCCCTCCCTTCTCACCATCACCTTTCCCTCTTGCCCGTCCAGGTGTATGGTCACGACTAGGTCCATGGCTTCTCACCACAACGCCGCCGATCACCAAACAGATCCTTCCCACCCAACCAACCCACCACAATATATCATCGAGCTCACCAACAGCATTAACCGCATGGCCGAGCAAAACCAGGCCCTGATCAATGCGTTACTCCAGAGAAACCCCCCCGTTCCACCTCCAAATATCCCACCCAACCAAGGAACAACCCCAGGCCATACTGCTCCACAACCCCCTCCTCCGCCTAACGCAGAAGGCTCGCAGCCCCTTCCTCCCCAACATGAAAACCTACCACCCCCACCTCCACGCCCGCCAGTCGCAGCACTAGCCCCTGAGGGGGAAGCCAGCAGTGTCCAGCCCCTATTGACCGACCATGGCGACAACATTCCCCTCTGGGACGCTGAAATCCGAGCTATGAAACTCCAACTACAAGGGGTCATGCAGAACATTCAGCACAAGCCCTCAGTCACCACCAACTCGCCTTTTGTTGCCTCCATCCGCGACAAACCATTGCCTGCCAAGTTCAAGATGCCTACCGTTGACTCCTTCGATGGCACGACGGACCCAGTCGACCATCTGGAATCCTACCGCACCCTCATGATCCTCCATGCCTTCCTTGACGAGATCATGTGCCGAGCTTTTCCAGTGACACTGAAGGGATCAGCTCGGCTGTGGTTTAGCCAACTCCCGGCGGACTCCGTCTCCACCTTTCAACACCTCAGTGACTCCTTCCTGAGCCACTTTATTGGAGCCCAGCGCCAGAGACGCCCAGCCACCCAGCTCCTTAACATTCGTCAGACCGAGGGGGAGTCGCTCTGCAGCTTTGTCACCCGATTCAACACCGAAGCCCTTCAAGTAGCGAAGAATGACGACAAGGTCATCCTCACCGCTTTCATGGCTGGCCTGCGGTCGTCTGATTTCCTTTTCTCCCTCTCCAAAAACCCTCCAACCACCATGGCAGCTCTACTATCCAAAGCCCAGAAATACATGAATGCTGAAGATTCCCTGGCCGCTCGGCAAGAGCCGCCCCCTAAAAATCCGACCCCCAGAGAAAAGAGGAAGGACTCCGAGCCCAGAACCGCCCAGTATAATAGCCAAACACCCCACTACAATGACCGACCCCCCCGAACCGACCGGTTGAATCCGACCAGACCGGCCGGTCGGTTTGAGCGGTACACACCTCTCAACTCCCCCATGGAGCACGTCCTCAATCAAATCCAGCGGGACTACCCCCTCAAGTGGCCCCTACCGTCCCGAAACCCTTCCACCCGGAAAGATCAGTCCAAATACTGCCGCTTCCACCAAGATCATGGCCATACTACCGACGAGTGCATCAACCTCAAAGACCAGGTCGAGACCTTCATCCGCCAGGGCCGCCTCAGCCGATTCACAGACCCCCGCCCCGCACAGAGGCAAAGAACTGACCTTCCCAGGAACAATCGCCGACGCACACCACCCCGCAACCAAGCCCCACCAAAGGAAGGCCACGATCGCCCGCCACCACAGCCACGGCCTCCGGGCAATCCCCCTCCACCAGTCGGAGAAATCAGAGTCATTTCGGGGGGCCTTGCTTGCGGGGGGCCATCCCGCTCGGCTCAGAAGGCAGAACTCAGAAAAATCAGGCAAGGCTCAGACAAAGCAGTGGCGACGGTGGACCGACCTCCCAAACAGTCAAAACAATGGATCAAACCCATCACCTTCACCGACACCGACTGTGCAGGAGTCCGTTACCCACATGATGACCCCCTTGTCATTTCCGCCATCCTCTCCAACTACATAGTTAGACGAGTCCTCGTAGACAACGGCAGCTCTTCAGACATTATCTTCCTCAATTGCTTCCGCCAGCTCAAGATTGGGGAAGAGAGTTTGTCTCATCTCCAAACCCCTCTGGTCGGCTTCACCGGCGACCGCATTACCTCCATCGGCTCCATCGATCTACCTATCACCATTGGCGAGCACCCGCGGCAGACCACTAAGTTGCTCACCTTTCTTGTGGTCGACTGCCCCTCTGCTTACAACATCATCCTCGGCCGCACAGCCCTCAACGCCTTCCAAGCCATCACATCTACATATCATCTTGCCATCAAATTTCCTACCGATCTCGGTGTCGGCACTATCAAAGGAGAGCAGACCGTGGCCAGGGAGTGTTATGTCGCCTCGCTCAAGGAAGTCAAGTTAAAAGAGGCCATGATCATCGAAGGGCTTGACGTCCGAGATGAGGACGAGCTGGTCAGAGGTGAACCTGTAGAGGAACTCATTGAAGTTAACATTGATCCCACCAACCCAATCAGAACCGCCAAGATTGGCAGCCAATTACCTTCCCAAGTCAAGGCCGACCTTACTGCTCTCTTGACCGAGCACAGAGATGTATTCGCCTGGACCCATTCTGACATGCCAGGCATCGACCCGTCCTTCATAACCCATCGCCTCAGCATCGAGCCCCACTTTCGACCCCACCGCCAGAAGCAACGCATTTTCCATCCGGAGCGCAACACCCTCATAGCCGCAGAAGTCGACAAACTCCTCGAGGCCCAATTCATCAAAAATGTGGACTATCCTAGGTAGTTGTCCAACGTGGTCCTCGTTCGCAAACACAACGGCAAATGGCGGCTCTGTGTCGACTACTCTGACCTGAACCGAGCTTGTCCCAAAGATAGCTACCCCCTTCCCCGCATAGATTTGCTGGTTGACGCCACAGCCGGTCATCAAATGCTCAGCTTCATGGATGCCTTCTCTGGGTACAACCAAATTCTGATGCACACATCCGACCAGGAGCGCACATCATTTATCACCGACCGAGGTACCTACCACTACTGTGTAATGCCGTTCGGATTGAAGAATGCTGGGGCCACTTATCAGCGGCTGGTTAACGCCGTTTTCCACTACCTAATAGGTCGGAATATGGAAGTCTACGTCGACGACATGCTGGTCAAAAGTAAATACTCCTCCGACCACCTTGCTGACTTACGTGAGACCTTCACCACCTTGCGCAAGTACCAGATGAAGCTCAACCCAGAGAAGTGCGCCTTTGGCGTAGGGTCTGGCAAATTTTTGGGCTTATGGTCAGTCAGCGCGGCATCGAAGCTAACCCTGAGAAGATCAAGGCCTTGGTTGAGATGCAGTCGCCTAGGACGGTCAAAGAAGTTCAAAGACTCACCGGCCGAGTGGCGGCCCTCAACCGCTTCATTTCCCGTGTGATGTTGTGGGCCAGTCCTTCATTTTTTGTCACTATCATTATGCCCAGAATAATTATATTATAGAATTCTGCCGAAAAATATTATTGTGTAGTTGAGATCATGAATCTCACATTATATTAATTAAGTATCAATCAAACTTTTTTATTTTTAATTTTTAATTTTTGTTATTGTTGTGTGAAATTATATATTAATGTGTACTATTTAGAAATTATTTTATTATTAGAGAAGATGGCTCAATCCAACGGCCGGTCTATTACATCAGTCGGGCTCTTAGGGGCGCGGAGCAGAACTACCCCTTGCTGGAAAAACTGTCCCTGGCCCTGGTCATTGCCTCCAGACGCCTCCGCCCATACTTCCAAGCTCACTCCATTGTGGTCCTCACCGACCAACCCCTGAAGAAGGTCATGCAGCAACCAGAACTCTCAGGTAGACTGATGCAGTGGTCCGTCGAACTCAGCCAGTTCGACATCTCTTACCGCCCTCGGACAGCAATTAAGGGACAGGCCGTAACTGACTTCATCATGGAGTTCACCAAGCCGACCCCGACCACAACACCTCCGCCCCTACCAACTCCAACAGAGCCAGAAGATCCTCATTCTTGGACTCTTAATGTCGACGGATCGTCCCGAAAAGAAGGAAGCGGTGCCGGCCTCATCCTCACCTCTCCTGAGGGCGGCTACTTCAAATGTGCCCTCCGTTTCTTGTTTGAAGCAAGCAACAATGAAGCCGAGTACGAGGCATTAATAGCAAGACTCCACCTCGCCAAGGACATAGGGGCCAGCCACCTCCGAGTTTTCAGCGACTCCCGACTCGTCGTCGATCAGATGACGGGGGACTTTGATGCCAAGGATGACACGATGCGAGCTTACAGAGACCTGGCACTCCCCCTTGCTCGCCTCTTCAATACCTTCCACATCAGGCATATTCCTCGGGCAGAAAACTCCAAAGCAGATGAGATGGCTCAGTTGGCTTCTGCTGACCATCCTACTCTTAGCCATGATGTCCGCGTTGAATATCTACACCACCCGGCCGTTTCACCCGATCTACAAGCTATCCAATACATTCAAAATGAACCTATCCCTTGGGCATTCGACATCCTTCTATTCTTGACCACAGAAGCACTCCCAGACGACCAGCAGCAGGCTTCCAAAGTCCGATCCCGAGCGTCCAATTACGTCATTGTCGACGATATATTGTACAAGCGCGGCTTCTCCCGGCCATATCTACGGTGCCTCAATCCAGCGCAAGCAACTTACGTAATGCAGGAGATCCATGAGGGGATTTGTGGTAATCACTCAGGAGGCAGGTCCCTTGCCCAGAAGATACTCCGTACTGGGTACTTTTGGCCAACTCTCAATCAGGATGCGACCGACTTCGTGCTCAAATGCGATAAATGTCAATGCTTCGCCAACATCCTTCACGCCCCTCCTACAGAGTTAATCACACTCTGCAGCCCTTATTCGTTTGCCAAGTGGGGAATCGACCTGGTCGGCCCGCTTCCCACCGGTCGAGGTCAGACCAAGTTCGCGATCGTGGCCATTGATTACTTCACCAAGTGGGTCGAGGCTGAACCCCTTGCCACAATCACCGAGCGGAACACCACCAGGTTTATCTGGCAATCGATCATTTGCCGATTTGGCATCCCTCAAGCCATCATCTCTGACAATGGCAAACAATTCGATAACGCGAAGTACAGAAAATTCTGTGCAGATCTCCACATCCAACCGTGCTTCTCCTCCCCCGGTCACCCCCAAGCAAACGGCCAGGTTGAGGTCACCAACCGCTCCCTTCTGAAAATCATCAAAACCAAGCTCGAAGCTGCTAAAGGCCTTTGGGCTGAGGAACTGCCAAATGTACTCTGGGCTTACCGAACCACCGCTCGCACCCCCACTGGTGAAACCCCTTTTCACTTAACATATGGCGCTGAGGCGGTTATTCCGGTAGAATTCGGATTGCCCACCCCCAGGATTTTACATCCGGATCTGGCCGCAGCCGAAGAACTCCACCGAACAGAATTAGACCTCGTCAAAGAGCTCAGAGAGACCGCTGCTGTCAAATTGGCTTCGTACCAGCAAAAAATGAGAAAACACTACAACCGCCGAGTCCGACCACGAGAGTTCTCCGTAGGGGACCTTGTCTTACGAGAAGTGACTCTTGCTACAAAGAATCCAACCGAGGGCAAACTGGCAGCCAAATGGGAGGGGCCCTACGTTGTGAAAGCCCGACCACGACCAGGCACTTACCGACTTCAAGACATGGAAGGCCGAGACCTGCCCATCCCTGGAATGCGGAACATTTGAAGCGTTACTATCAATAATTCGTACTTTTGTATTGACAATATCGTTGTATTTCCCTTTTTATACATAATGCAAACTCCGCCTGGTGATTTCGGTTTTCATAATTCAACTGTCTCTATGTCGCTCCCATAACTTTTTCACTTGCAGCATTTCAAAAGCCTCGGCCAAACCGAGCACTTCAAAAGCCTCGGCCAGACCAAGCACTTCAAAAAGCCTCGGCCAGACCGAGCACTTCAAAAAGCCTCGGCCAGACCGAGCACTTCAAAAGCCTCAGCTAGACCGAGCACTTCAAAAAGCCTCGGCCAAACCGAGCACTTCAAAAGCCTCAGCCAGACCGAGCACTTCAAAGGCCTCAGCCAGACCGAGCATTTCAACAGCCTCAGCCTGACTGAGCACTTCAACGCCAAGCAGCACCACATTTCCAACACTTAGTCACATTCTGAAGCTTCTTCACAGTTCCAGGACCACGTCTTTACCTAGTTAAATTCTCCACATACTCTCACGTATTACATTTACTGATCAGATTATTTGTCAACTATTTAGTTACAATTTACAACCTGCCTCTTACTCCAATTTTTCCATTATCTTTTCAATTTTCATACGACTCCAATCGCACTCCGCAGGGAGGAACTTTTAACTTTCACGTTGCATGATATTTTTACTGACCCAATCTTTATGCCCAGTTTTAATTACAACATTTCATTCATGCTGGCAACATAAACAAAATACACAAAATTCAACTGGCTATACATTCATCCATTGCAATTAAATAATCTTTGTACACAGCTTCATTACAGTTAAATTCTCCATACCTTCATTCATTCACTCCTTTACAATGTGTTTACAATTTAAAAAAAAAAACAAAAACAAACAAACACAGAGCACGCCCAGTTTTTCTTCTCCTTGGCTACTCCTCCTCACTAGATGCCAGATCCTCTTCTTCAACGCCTTCGTCAAGGGGGGTCTGGGCCACGTCATCTTCGCCTATTGTCACACTACTAAGGTCCAAGTGTGGGAACAGCTCTTCAGCTCTGCGCTTGAACATTTTCCAACCGCTGTCCCAGAACTCAGCCATTTCGTGCTTATAGAAGTCTGACTACTGGAACCTTTCAATCACCTCTGCCTCTATCCTACCTCCAGCAGTCTTCCTTGATGGGCCCACCCCCCCAGACTCTTGACCAGCCAGACTCCTGGCGACAGCAGCATCCACCACCATTTGAAATTCGGGGGACCCTTTATATTGCTCCACTGCTGCGACGCATAGATCAGGGTAGGCCGCCTTTTCAGACGCCGCCTTCGCCCTCTCCTCGTCCAGCTCCCTTTGCAGGGCCCCCCTTTCAGTAGCCACCATCGCCCTCTTCTCCTCCACCCCCTTCCTCAGACTCTCCAGCTCCGCCGCCGCCTTCGCCCTCTCCACCTCCCACTCCCTCAGAAGCCTCCCCTTCTCCTCTTCTGCTCTGGCACGCTCCTCCCCCAACTCTTTCAACAGATCTCCAATTCTGGAGTCCGCTTCATCCTTTTGCCTGACCAGCTCTTCATTGTTGGTCATGGCCTCTTCATGCCGCTCGATTGCCACGGCGCAGGCCCTCTCAGACTCTTCCAACTTTCTCTGTTCACCAGCCAGTTGGAACTCAAGCGACACAACCTTACGGCGTGTGTCCTCTAGTTCCAACTTGACTGCTGGCAGATCGGCATGGGCAGTCTTCTAGTCGGCACTATCCTTCCTTAATTTGGCCAACTGGGCCCTGGCCTCCTCAGCCTTCAACTTGGCAGCCCCAGCCTTCCTAAGAAGGGCCCCGGCCAAGGTAGTTAGCTCCATTTGGGCGGAGCATAACCCCCTCAGCAGGTCGGTCTCATTATACCCAGATACTGTGCGCAGAGCTCCCTCCTCCATAATCTTCACCAGGCGGTCTGCCCCCGCCCTGGCTGGGCCTTTTTCTCCCTCCAACCTTCCAGCCACCGCGCGCGCATGATAAATCGCCGTCGCCAGACGCACCCCTCCTTCCTGGGAGTCAGGCCTCTTCTGGACCTGTTCCCCTCCGCTCGGCGCCGCCTCACTCACCCCAGCGTCCACTTGCACTGGTGGAGCAATCTCCACAACCTCCACCGTTGGGATGATCTCCACCACCTCTAGGGCGTCCTTTGCCACAGGGACCTCCACCTCCGTTGGGGCCACCTTCGCCCTCTTGGCCCCAGACTCCTCTGCAGCTTCCTCTGGGGCACTCCTCTTCTTCTTCTTCTTCTTTTTCAGAGGCTCCACCCCCTTTCTGGCCTTTTCTTTTACAGGGTCTACAGGCGGCGGCCGCGGCTCAAAGCTGCCTAAGTCTTTTTCCCCCAACGGCCTGGGGCGCGGTCGGATCCTCTCCCGCGAGATCGGTTCAGGCGGTCGGTCCCTCTGCGCCTCTATCAACTTCGCAGCCTTGGCCATAACGGCTCGATCCTCTACCTCCTGTGCTCTTCTCCTCTCCTCCAACTCCGCCCGGCCGAGGTCTCCACCTTTCGGCTGCGGTCCCAGCCCCGCCTCAAACAGCGCAGACGGCTGGACAAGATCGTCCCATTTGGCCTTCTCTCTCTCTCTCCATTCCTTCACTCTCTTCACCCTCTCTTCCGCCACCGCCTCCAGTCTCGACTCCATCGAACGGGTTGGCACCTTCCAGATGGTGCGTACCCCCATCCCCCCATTAACTGCCACGAAGAACCACCGTGGCCGCCACCCCTTGATCGACGTAGGCAGCCCTGCCACCAATCCCCTCCCCATCACCGCCTGTAGGGTGACCCACGTTTCTTGCTGCCCCGACGCCTTGTAACATGAGAAGAACTCGTCTATCGTCATGGCCTCCCCCCCCATTCGCCTTAGGCCACGCACTCGCACAGGCCAGCAGAATCTTCCACGCATTGGGCATCAATTGCCCCGGCGCTACCTCCAGGCGATTTAGCACGTCAACCACCACTTGAGGCAGTGGCAGCCTCAGCCCCCCTTTTAACGCCTCCTCATACAGGGAAAACTCCCCCGGCCTCACGGTAGACGGCCTTTCCCCTGATGTTGACAGCCGTAATTCTACCTCCGCCGGAATCTGGTACCGTCCCCTAATCACCTCCAAATCCGCCGCCGTGAGTGTGGATCTATCCGCCTTAGTGTGCCACTGATCTGGCTCTACCTGGCTTAGTAGCTGTGGCGCCAATACCAGGACCGACGCCTGCAATTCTCCCACCGTTTCCCCCACCTTTCGCACCTCCGTCCTGTATTACGCTGCTAACTCCTCCCTATCATCATCCCCTAACGGGTCCACCCTCACATTAACTCCTTCTTCTTGTGCCATTTCTAGGGTTTGCTTCCAACTCACTTTTGACGCAGGAACGACGAAGTTTAGAAAATGCTACACAGGTATGCCGTATGCAGTGAAGGAATTAACACTTGGAATTTCCTTGTCAACTCCAACAGGTTGAGGTGGTCTCCTACACGATGGCATTAACATTTTTATTTATTTAGTTGTTTATTAATGATGAGGAATCTTACCCTCACAACCTTGGTGGTTTTTGATGCAGCTTATGGGACAATTTATAATTTTTTTTTTTAAATTTGAAAATTTTGTGACAGTATTTGGTATAATTTCTACTTAATAGTTTTTGAAATGAAAATAACTTAAGTAAGTTTAAAAAACTGATTTTGTTTTTAATTATCAATTTTTAACTCACAAGAAGTTTCACCAAACAGGTCGCCTCAATAGTCAGGTACTACCTACCTAAGCTTTAAGTGTCACCATAATTTTGACCTTGTAAAGATAGGGTTGGGCTATGTTTGGGTACTTGGGACCAACCAGATGGAAAAGTTATAAATTGTTGAGAACTATTTACAGAGTTGGGCTTTGTTTTGACATGTTTAGTTTTAAAAAAATTGATATACAAGTTTATTTTTTAGAATAATACTTGGGACTCTTACAATTTATGATCCCCACCACCCTCAATTGATTTATAATCACTCATTTATTTATTTTATTTTTTTCCCTCTTTCTCCTCACTCTCTCTCAGAAAAACTGTGGGGGTGCTGGGGGTCTCTAGCACCTTTGTATTTTTCATATTTATGTTTAAGATTTAATAATATATAAGTGATATGATTGGTTAATAATTATCGAAGTTGTGAGAGAGTATTATTTTTAATATCTTAATTGATTATCACATCACTGAATTTGAAAATTAAGCCTAATTTTTTATTTTAAATAACAATACTGGTACTTTTATATATCTGTATAAGGTGAGAATCTGAAGGGGATTGCCATTGTCTAAATTGGGTTGTGTTTGAATTTTTGGTAATGATTTTTACTTTTTAAGAAAAGCTACTCCAACTGGTTCACAAAAGAGAATATGAAGGGGCTTGCCATTGAAATTCATTTTTCAGCTTATCTATTTTTTATTTTTATTTTTTTTTGTATTTTTTTGAGTTTCTCCACTTGGATCTTTTAGCTTATCATTCTCTTCCTGAACATTTTTCTAATTTTGGTTATATTTGGATAACTATGTTTATGTTCACTTATTAATGCAGTTTACCCTTTCCTCAAAAAATTTTAGTTACATTTGGGACTTGAACAAACATAGAAATGACTAATTTTGTTAAACGGACTGATTATTCTAAGCTAAGATGTCATTTTTTATAAGTTAGTAGGGTCAAGATTATCCATATATATATATAGTTTTTCAAATTTAGTGGCATCAATTTACTAGTACCAATGTTTGTGGTGTGATCTGTGGGTGCAAATAGACAAAATTAATATTAAAATTATTTTTTAATAAATTTTTCAAAATTGTTTGATGGGTCAATTGCCTTCATACTCTATAACTTGGCACCACCTCTGAAGGTAGTGGTTAGAGATGATGATGGTGAATGTGAGTTAGGGTTTAGACGATTGAGAGTGTTAAGTGTAAAAGTTAGAGATAATGTATATTTTAGAAGCAATATGTGCAGTTCATTCATGAAAAAAAAAATAAAAAAAAATCAGTCTGACTCAATAACTGCAATTATATGATTTTTATCATAAATGTTTGGTAGCATATTTTTTAAAATTATTCTTGTCATCCATTTGTTTGATAATAAATGATGTGATTATAATTTATTAAATTTTTTAAAAATTATAAATAATTTATGCACATAATTATAAAGATGAACAGACCAATCATAAAAATGGACTTTTGTGGTAGGCCATGTGCCAGCAAAATGTTCGAGTAAGGCAATTCGTCTATAACCTTATCTTACTGAATAACAAGGCTCTCAACATGAGACTGAGAGTGCCCCCCCCAATCACTAACAATGTTGAAGTACTACCACAGATACACTAGTGGTGCTACATCTACACTAACCACCTCCTCGTCACCTCCTCTCTTATTCTTATCTCTTCCTTCAAACTATTACAATCTATCCTACACAACCACAACCTTGAGGATTTGCTTTTTTTCCATTAGAATTACTGCTCTCAAATTCGGCTTCCAAGAAGTTCGGAGGAGCACTCATTGTAGGGCGAGGCGGAGAGTAGTGAGATACAATGATGAAGACGAAGATGACGACGATGAAGAATTTGAATATGGGCACAATGCAGAGATAGCAATGTTGGAATTGTATAGTCAGTCTGCTAGAGATGAGGCACTTCTTGTTACAGCATCTGTGGATGACCAAGATGCACTAGTTCTCATTTTCAAGGTTAGCTAATTTTATGACAAATTATGCCGATAGTCCAGTATATTGATTGTTATGTCATTTTAATTTTTATAATTTTAAGAAAAATTACACCAGTACTTCTTACATTTTGATTCTTATACCCTTAATTAATTCAATTTTGATCATTAATTTTAGATTTTATGTCAATTTAGTGTAATTGATAAATCATAAAGAAATAAACCCGTGAGACCAGCGATGGGTTGCTCATCATATAATCACACAAGAAATAAATTGTTAGAGAAACTAAACATTTATGTTAAAATGTATTAGAATTTCCCTTTTTCTTCTCTATTCTCTAGTATAGTTTCAATTTTCAAATGTTGTGTTTGGTAATTTACAGGGGTTCTCATCGTGCTTGAGCTATAAGACTAGTCCAGACCCATCAAGAAGTGTTCTTCCAAAAAGGGCAGTGATCAAATCCATTGACAGAATTAGAGGGCCTTTTGACCCCTCTAATATTGAGTACCTAGAGCAAGGATTGACTTGGGAAACTTTTAAGACTCGTCTCCACCCCAATTAAACAACCAAAGCTCATGCGACTTGGTTTTTTAATTCTAAATTCTTCTTTATTAATTTTCTGTATCTTCTGCAAATAAAGTACGTAGTTACAAAGAAATTTATATGACATTTGGGCCATAAGTCTAATTTTTAAACTTTTGAGATAATAGTCTTAAACTTTATTCTTTTGGGGTTAAAAAGATAAAATAATTTGAAAGACTATATTACTCTTACCTATATGTCTATCTTTCTGCTGTTCACGTCATCTATTTGTTATTCATATCACCAATCTATCCATTTGTCATTCCCTTATTTGTCTATTTAATTTTTTTATGTATCCGTTTTACCACCACTACTCGCCGTCAGCCACCGCAAACGATTTTTTCAGCACCAACAATGGTCCGACAATGATCTAGCGGCAGTAGAGTAAGAATAATAATAATTTTTTTTAAAAATGATAATTTATCCTTCTCACTAAACAATTTCATTAATCATGTCCTTATGTATTTGATTAGAGAAATTTATCAAACAACCAACACCAAAGAAATGTCTAATATAGAATTTATCTGTTAGAACTCAAACATCCATGTCTTTCACAAGTGAAATTTTTTATAAATTGTATAGGTAAAGTAATCTGCTTGATCAACAGAAAACACAAATAAATTTTATTTGTTCAATCTATGTAAATGTTTTTTATATAATTTTATAGTCATTATGGGTATTGTTTGAACAATCTCAATAAATGGATTTCAAAAATATATTTGGGATAAAGTTTATTTGCAAAATCGTGAATATCTTTTATTTTGAAAGATTTATAATTGTCCTTAGGATTTGAACATCTTCCTTAAATTGGTTGTTAATTCTTGAAAGACTTGTGAAAGAGAGAGGGGAGTGGGGGAGTGAGAGAGATATTAATGATATTAAAGTCTCGTTTGACAATACAATTTTTTAGTTTAAAAGTTTAAAAAGTCACTAAAAAAATTAAATAGTCAATCATCTATATCAAAAAGTTAAAGATTCATTTTTCTCTCTACTTTTTTGCATATCTTTTCGTAAAAAATTAAAAAATCATCCTAAACATACTAATTTTTTTTAATCATATTTTAGCCAAAAAGTCAAAAAATTATTTAAAAAGCCTATTTCCAAACGAGGCCTAAATATTGTAGTAAGTTTTTTTATTTTATTTTCTTTGGATTAGATTAAAAGTTAGTTTTTTTGATTTTTTTTGAAAAAATGTATAAGAAAATAGAGAGGTAATATGACTCAAAAGATATTAAAAGCTAAAAAAATTCTTTTAACCTCTTTATTAAAAAGACCTAAGGTAAGAAGATATGTAATTCAACCAGCGCATGAGTTGACATGTTACTAGATTAGGGGTTGTTTGGACTGTTATAAATAAGTGCACTTTTTGTTTTTTTAGACTAAAAAGTTAAGGGAAAAAATATGGATATTTGAGTTAACTTTTTGACTTTTCATGAAAAAATATGTAATAAAAAATTGTAAAAATTAGTTTGTAGAGAAAAATTAAGATTGGGAGATGTGCAGCCGTAATTGTTGACTTTTGATAAATAGTGTTAACTTTTTTTTTTTTTACTTTTTGACTTTTTTTACATACCCTAAACTTGACCTAAATGTTTAATATATTGTGATTGTTCATCCTTAAAAAAAAATAAAAAATAATAATAATAATTGAAACAAAAGAAGAAGTTTTGAAAAAAATTGTTTAAGAGAGAGAACCAAAAAAAGAAAAAGAAAAAACAAATTAAAAGAAGAATAAGAACAAGAACAAAAAGAAAAAGAAAAAAGGGAACACTCAACGTAGAGGTGTTTTAGAAAGACTGTTAAAAATTGATTTTGTAATTTTTTAAGTTTTTTTTATTATTTTATATAAGAGATAATGTAGTTTAAAATAGATTTTAAAAGTTTATTTTTAACTTTTTAACTTATGTTCTCAAAATGGGCCAGAGGATAAGAATGAGAGAGAAAGAGATGGAACTGAAAAGTGAACATTGAACTTAAAATTGAAGACTGAGCTCGAGATTCCATTTATCACGAATTATTTTACTATTATTATTATTTACTCTAAAACTTAAATTTTTATAAATTTTAGGCTATAAGAATATCCAAGAGTATCAATGAACCTCTCCTAACTTTGGAGCCTAGTATGAACTTTTTGACAATTTCAGCAATCAAATAATTGAAGTTGTTAGACTTTCAAGTCATATACGACTAAGTCAATTTATTTCTCCGTCAAGTTATCACATGCTTCATCAAAGATGTCTGGTCTAGCGTGTGCAATATATACATATAATAAAAGGTGTTTGGGTTGTCTTAAATAAAGGTACTTTTTATCTTTTTAAATTAAAAAATTAAAGAAAAAAAGATGGATATTTGAATTAATTTTTTATTTTTTTATAAAAAAATATGTAATAAAAAATTATATAAATAAAATATATAAGGAAAAATTTAAGATTGATGATAAACTGCCTACGGCTGCCCAGCCTGTCTAATAAGAAAAATAATCAACTCCTTCGCGGCTGCCCAGCCTGTCTAGTAAGAAAAATAATTCTTATTTAAAGATGCCCTTCGTCAGTAAGACTTACAACTTGAAAGATAAACTATTTACAAAAGGGTTATCAAAGAGTTGGGGATATAAAATATTTAAAAAACAACAATACGGTGGGCATGTTTGCTTAAATTAATAGATTGTTTATGGGGGAAAAAAAAAGTGGTTAAAGTAGAATTGATATGATAGATCCATTACAAAAATCAACTTTAAGATAATAGATCTATGTATACAAACATTATCACACATTTATGACTTTAAACTAATAGTATGATATTAAATTAGCTTGAGAAAATAATATCAATAATTAGTACTGAAAAAAAGCTCCATCGTAGACATTTTTTTGTTGTTAATATCACACATAATAAATTTACTGGTTTCATTCATTAAAATTTAAAAACTGAAGACCTTATTCAATTTTAAGAATTGATAGTACGTCCTTTTCCATTATCAAATCATATTAAAGGACTTTTGAACAAATTTTCCAATAAGGGCTTGGCTTCTGTCTAGTCCTTAATCAGATTAGACCGTGCTGTTGGGTCCGTGGAGGCTCACCACGGGTCTCGTTTTGATAATCTGAATCGTTAATGTGTAGAAATTGTCGAGTACTATAAGCTTATAAAAAATCACGTTAATCGGATATCGGTAGCTATGTGATCAAATCAGTTTTGTATAAAAAAAAATGGACGGTGAATAAATTAATGGTTGATAAAAATTTGATTTGATCGCATAGCTATCGATATCCGACTAACGTGATTTTTTACAGGCTTATAGTACTCAACGAGTTCTACACATTAAACGGTTTAGATTATCAAAAAGAGACCCTTAGTGGGCCTCCACAGGTCTAACAATACGGTCCAGTCCGATTAAGGACCGGAGAGAAGCCAACACCTTCCAATAATTTAGATAAAATGACAAAAACTTTATTCTAAAATTGGATAAAAGGAACTTTCAAAACTTCTTAAAAATTATTAAATTTCAACTTAAAAACAAGGATAGAAAGCATGCTCAAAATGGTCAGCTATCCAGCATTTTCAAATGTAAAACCATTCATTTGAGTCAGACACTCTTCTTTTAACAACACGTTTGGCATGTGGTTATTTTAATTAAAAAGTTAAAAAGTTATTAAAAAAATTAAAAAGTCAATAATTCATACAAAAAAGTTAAAGATTTTTTTTTTTCTACTTTTTACACATCTTTTCGTAAAAAGTCAAAAAGTCATCACAAATATACTAATTTTTTTTTATATCACATTTTAATCAAAAAATTACTAAAAAAGCCTGTTCCCAAACGAGGCCCATGATGAAGTTGAACTTTTAATTTCATATAAGAAATTTTGAGATTACAAATTCAACATGTGATTTCATTATTTCACTACGTCAAAATTGGGCTTTAGCGACAGTTTTTTACCGCCGTTAAAGGCTATAAAACCGCCGTTAAAACCTTTAACGGCGGTATTAACGGCGGTTTCGTTACCGCCATTTATGCGCGTGTCAGAAAAAGTACAACCGTCGTAAAAAGGTAAATTACCGTCGTTAAAAGTCGACCAAAAACGGCGGTAATATAAGACCAAAAACGGTGGTTTTTTACCGCTGTAAATAGGTTCAAATTTTTTCAAAAAGTAATTCTTTAAGTTCTGAACCCAAGACCTCTCATCCACCCACACCAACCACTCTGCCATAGCCACTCTTTATGAAATATATTCCCTAAATAAATATTTAAACATTACTTTTACTTTATTGTAGATGGTTTCGCCGGAGCTCGCCGGGGTTTCACTGGAGCACGCCGAAGTTTCACCGGAGCTCCGCCGGCAAAGACCGCCGTCATTAATGGCGGTAATGATTGGGCATTAGCGGCGATTTTGTTACCGCCGTTAATAGAGGGTTTCATTACCGTCGTTAAAGACACTTTAGTGGCGATTTTTTTAACGGCAGTAATGAAACCGCCGTTAATGATAAATTAACGGCGATATTAATGACAGTTTTTGTTACCGCCGTTAATAGTACCTTTAACGGCGATTTTCGTTAAAAAAACCGCTGTTAAAAAAACCGCCGTTAATGCTCTATTTTGACGTAGTTGTATAATAGTTGAGTAGCTTTTACGTTGAAATAAAATTGCATATTGAAACCTATAATTTTACTTTATGAACAAAGTATTAGCTTTCGTTCTCTCGTCATTTCATGTGATAAAAAAATGAACTTATGTCAGTATAATTTGATCTGAATTTGATCAGTTAAAATATAAAATACCGATGGGAAGAAGGTTTTCAAGCTTTTTTTAATTATTTTAGTCACAAAAAATAAAATAGGCTATTTTAGCCACAACAAACAAAACATCACATCTAACCCATAATCATTACATTCTTCTCTCACAAAAAAAGTCAAAAAAATCAAAAAATCTTTCCCAAACCAAACTTTTTAAACCCAGACTAAAATAGTTAAAAAAGTCAAAAAATTAAAAAATCAACTCACTTCCCAAACGGTAGCTAATAAAATAGTGATTTTAAGATGTGATTTTATTCAGGATGATATTATAACAAATGGGACTAGATTCTCTCAGCTAAATATTTCGACTGGACAATTTATTTTGACTTATTGTAAATTTGTGTTTAGTTTACCGTGATGATTTAAATTATTTATTTTATAAAATTATTAGTCGAATATTAAGAATTATTTAATTTTAAAAAATAGATTATGGACAACATAATTTTGAAGCATTATTTTGCAAACAAATGTGAGTAGGATCGAGTAAATCCTGATGTTGATAAAATTATTTTTTAATACGCATAATCTTTATTAAAAGAATTTATAAAATAAATAATTTAAACTATTAAATCAATTCACGATAAATTTATAGTGGACAAGGCTGACTGCCCAAATTATTAAAAAATGAGTATATTCTTATAATTTGTTTTTGAAAGAAAAAGCCAAATCACTCGTTGTCCTCTTCTCATTTTCTGCTCATATACTCCGTTCACACAACGCAATCCTTTATTTTCTCTCTTTCTGACTTTTCTCTCATCTTTCCCAACTTTTCACTCTTCAATTCTCTTTGGACCTCTCACTCTTAACCTTCCTGAGAAATGGGGTTCTTTATTTTTTCTCAATGATTTATCTTTAGCTCAAATTCATTTTTTAATAGAAAATCAAGCTTAACTGTTCTTACCCAAAACCCCAAATGGACGAAAGCAGGGAAATTGCACTGACCCAGATGAGAAAATCAGTTGAAAAGCTAGGGTCTTCCACTCAGGTAAGTCACAATACTGTATATATTTATGTATGTATTAATATGTTCGTGATATTGCTATGCATAGTCAATGAAATGCTCAGTTCAGTCCCTTGAAACTGTTATGGTATTGGGTTGTAGAATTATGGAGACCCAACGCTGATGAGATTCTTGATTGCAAGAACAATGGACCCAGACAAGGCAGCAAAGATGTTTGTTCAGTGGAAGAAATGGAGGGCTGCATTGGTGCCTTTAGGGTTCATCCCGGACTCCGAAGTTCAGGATGAATTGGAAGCTCGAAAGATTTACTTACAGGGTTTATCCAAAGATGGGTACCCAGTTATGATTGTGAAATCAAGGAAACATTTTCCTTCGAAGGATCAACTTCAATTCAAGAGTAAGTTTTTGGATCACTCATTGTCTAATTAATGTTAATCTTGATTATTGTTAGTTTTGGATTTGATGAATAAGACTCCGTTTGGATCGAGTGATTTGGTGAGAAATGATAAGAAATCAAAGAGAAAAAGTACTATTTATAAGTAGGTGAAGAATGGTGAGAAAGTATGTGAAATGGAACTCTCTTCTTTTATAGGTTTCATCTCTATAAGTGATGAGATTTGGTGAGAAATAACACGATTAGTTTTATAGTTTATATAATACCAAGATTGTCCATTAAAATACAAAGATAGAAAAGAAAATTTCAATCATATTCCTGTATCACATAATCAGCTTTCTTACCTATCTAAATATTATAGTGAAAAAACACAATTATTTCTTTTCTTTATGAGAGACCACAATCATCCAAATAGAGTGTAAGATTCTTGTTTAATTGGTAGAATGATGCTTATGGGTTTTCCCTAAGAAAGTGCTTCATTAAAAGTCCATGTGATTTGGACTAGTTGGAACTTATTGATAGGCAGGGTGTAGTTGACTTGCTATCATGGGGCCATTCAATTGTCTTTCCAAGAGTGTTGGGCTCGCATTGTTTAGACAATTTCCACCTATGGTTCTTTAATTTATGTGAGCTTTAGGAGTATTACTTATCTAAAAAAAAGGGTCCTGTTAAAGGGCCACAGTCGGTTTTCGCCACAGTCTTTTGGTGCAGATAATCCTCCTATAATTTTATCTTATTTTATTAGAAAGTGCCCGGATTATGACATTTCTTTAATATAAAATGATGGATTGGAGACATTTTTGATATAATGCTCTTATCTAATGGTAAGGAATCACCAATCCGACAAAACTTTGGACTGTGGAAACAGCAAGGAAGAGGCTATTGTTTGTGGGTTAGGTGGGCCTAACATTGTTTCTATTTGCCACAAAATTGCATCAGACATAAGCAGCATGACATGTTTATGCATGTGTTGCTTGTTTTCTTGTATATTAAATTCAATGTCATGCCTTTTTGTTTACTTATTTTCTTTATTGTTGTCATAAAATAATTTTATCATTATTCTTTATTAGACAATAGAAGTTAAAACTAAACATTGTTGTGAAGATTATTCATTATAGTTTTATGATCATTTTGAATGGGTATGAGCTGCTTCATTTTCTGATTTCGGCATGTGAGGAATCAACATTATCATGAAAAATATTTTTCCTGGTTTTAGCAATTATTATTTTCCATCATTAAATCTTCACATCTTTAATTAAACAAAAGATAAAATCAATGAACTTCAGTGCATTTCCTTCATTCATGTATCTATATATTCTTTTATTACTTTGATGTGATCGATTATTAGATTTTAGACTATCTAGTCCCAATATCTATGAAATTCCTCCCATGTGCAAAATGAGCAAGTAATGCTGGGAACATGTACCACAAATGCAAAAATTTACTATTTGGCCTAGGTTAGGGAAGCTGCTTCTTAAAGTTAATGTGTTTGCTTGGGTATGAATTTTTTTTTTTTAAACCTTGTGTCCTGTACACCAAACTGACAAAACTGAACCATAACATGTGGATGAGCTGTGAGACGGGTAGATGAAATACAGCCCTAACATTTGGTGTTGTTTGCACAAAGTAGCTGCCATCAAGTTCGAACTCACAACCTCAAAGTTGATAGGCCGAGTTTTAACTAATGAACTAGTTGCACTTTATACATAATAATTATTATTTTAAAAATTAAATTAAATTCTAATACATTAGGTTAGGCTATTTAGGGTTATAGAAAACATGTTTGACTTGATGATTGGGTTTCATCAGTGAAGTCCTCAAATGCTGCATAATTGGTGAATCACCTTTATATTTATGTTGTTGAGCCAACCTACAAGAACCAATGCAGTGCACTAATCAATCAAGGAACCTGAATGCATTTTTATTTGTTTACTTTGGGTCCAATCAGAGAATCTGAAAGTCAACGAATGAAGAATAGCGCAAACTCTTTTGGATCCATTTCATTGTTTTGCCAAGCAAGTAACCATCTAGTGAACATCTGATTCACTTTCTTTTTCCTCTTGGTGCAGAATTTGTGGTTCATCTGCTGGACAAAACAATTGCAAGGTATCTTCTTAACTATTGTATGATGATTCAAGTGCTATAAAACTTAGTGACAGCGGTTGTTGAATGTAATATTCTTGCTGGTGTGATATAACAATTGCTGATGTAATTGCAACAATAAATATATAGTTCTCATTTAATTGCGAAAGATAATAAGAAAGAATGGAATATAATCCTTTCTCACAGCATTTGCTTTCTTAAAACTGCATGCATGCATGCATGCAACCATGCATACACATGAATGACACACACACCATACACACACACACATATTATTTCCAAACACGCCTTGGCCGTGACATGTAATAAAATAGGAAAGATGTGAAATAGTTGTTAGGGAACTCAGATTGTTGTTTTGGGAACTCACTATTTCCGTTGGCCTTATGACTTTTATAAAAAGACATGTAGAAAAATAGAGAGAATAATTGATTTTTTGGTAGTGGCTTTTTAGCTTTTTGGCTATTTTAGATTGTTGCCAAACTTGCCCTTAGAGAGGACAGTGCTTTTCTTTCTGAAAACAACACTTTATAAATGCCATAAATCAGTTTCAGCCTTACTTCTCCATTCAGTTTGGAATGCATATGACTTAATTTTTTATTGATTTCTGTGATTGCTACCTTACGTTTCTAGCTGGTTCAGAGCTTAGCATGAAAATATCTTATTCCTTTTTCAAAATACTTTTTGCATGGTGGTGTCTTAATTTTCATATATTTCAGTTTATATTCTTTCTTTCTTTTTGGTATATTGTTTGATCTCTCTCTCTCTCACTCTCTCTCTCTCTCTCATCCTATTTCATGAAACCTGCCATCTGGCTTAGGAAATTCTTCAAAAAAAAAAAAGTCTATTTTTCCTCAAACTCGGCGTATCTATCACAAAGATTATTCCGTTGTTTACCATTACATGGGCAGTTCATTAAAGTTAGTTATGTCCAAGGCATGTCATGTATTTCTAGTGTATATAAAGGTTGCCAATAACTTTTGCTTTGTTATCGGTTCTAATTTTCTTTGAGCATGAAATGGAGTTTCATTCTCACGTTGATTTCTTGTGCTTATTTTCAGTTCTTTCAAAGGAAGAGAAATAGGGAATGAGAAGTTGATTGGAGTTCTTGATCTGCAACAAATTACTTACAAAAACATTGATGCTCGAGCGTTAATAACTGGTTTTCAATTCTTACAGGTAAATCTTTATCATTATTTAAACTTTTTTGTATATGGAAATTGATAAGAGACTTACTAGGGTGGTACAAGATGTTAGGAACAGGATAAAATGGTTGCTTGTACACAATTTTTTTTTTTTTAATTTTTATTTTTATAACTAATTTGCTTGTACACAATTGTTCTTAAAATTTTGGCAAAGATTCTTTTTGAGTGCCCACAAAACCGGAATTGGGAAAAGACACGCTGAAGTCTTCACCCTGGTCTGGCTTAGAATCTCCTAGGGTTTCCAAGATGAAAGGTAAAGGGGACAATTTGAGACAAGGACCTCCGTACTCAGAGATAAAAAGCAAAGGAGAGAAGAGGTCCTATTGACAGTAGGTTGGAGAACCATTAATTGAAACAGAAAATTTAGTAGTGGAGAGAAAATTTGATCTAATCCCTCCATTTGTACCCGAATCCAATCTGCTCCAAACTGTATATCGGAAAATCCCATTTAACATGCTCATAAGCTTCTCAATGTCCAACTTACAAACGAGTGCAGGTCTTCCATGTATTACCCTAGAGTCTACCCCCTATTAGCCACCAAAGCTGTATCTAAAATTTGTCTACCTTCTACAAAAGTATTCTAAGATTTTGACACCACCGTAGGCAACACATCCTTAAAGTGAACTGGTAGAACTTTGGCTAAAAATTTGTACAACCCGCCTAAACTCCATCCAACAGGCTAATACGCTTAAAATCAGGAATATACTACGCATCCCCTTTCTTTCGAATCAAAGCAGTAAACAATACAATGAGACTCTTTTCAAACTAGCATAATTCATGGACCACTCTGAACATCCCTAGGATCTCCTCCCTCACCACATCCAAACACTGTTGAAAGAAAACAAGTGTCATCTGATTTAGACCTGGAGCTTTATTTCTAATCTAAATATCAATAACCAATTAGCCCTTTAGTTGCCTATCCTTATTGTGAATTTGGAAACTATACAAAAAAAAAATTCAAGAATCCACATGTGTCTAAAACGTTTTGACCTTCTAACCATGACTTCAGCAATGGTGTCAGTGTTCTTCAATAGTAAGCAATTATTCAGCAGTAATTCTATCTGATAGTAATGTGAAAATATGGTCACAATCCATTTGCTTTTTGTTAGCCCAGCCTTCTAGGACCTAATTGCATACAACTCCTAAGAGTCCAAACACAAGGAGTTGGTGCCATGAGAAATAGCCATAAACACATAAGCCATACCATTTTAGCAGTGCTGATGATGATAATTTAACAACTTAATCTTTTCAATGTATGTTATGAGACACAAAGAAAATGCTTGTTAATTGAATGTTCTATCCACTCAAAAATTCATTAGTGCAAATTAAAACAAGTAAAGATAGTGAAGCAATGTCACATATGGAAATGCAAGAATTATATAGGGGTATAGGCAAATTCATAAGAAAGGGATTAAGAGATGCTTGTTAACTGAAGATTTAATGTTCTTTCTATGATATTGTACAACCTTTGCTTGCTCCTTGATCAGTTATGCATGTGTGCATGTTGGATTTGATAAATTAGTACGGAGAGTTTATTAATTTTGCAACTTCCACATTCTTCCTAAGGTCTTTCTGCATTATTTTCTAAGGCTAATTGATTATCAAGTTCAACTGATATTAACATCAGATGTTACATGTTTAGTCTTGGCACTGAATTTCAAAACCAACTCAATTGTGCTCTATCAAAACACGGACATGCCTCCTTAATTGTATAATATTATTCTGCTAACACCTGCTCTCTTTTTTTCATTTACATGCTTACGTTTTCTATTCATGTAGGCATACTACCCTGAGCGCTTAGCGAAGTGTTACCTATTAAATATGCCCGGGTTCTTTGTGAGTGTTTGGAGAATGGTTTCCTACTTCCTTGAGAAAGCAACTCTAGAAAAGGTATGTGTATTTCTCAAAATACAATTCTATAAGTAACCTCCTTAGCTATTATGCAGAAACTTATAGACTTTTGAGAAACAATCACAATAATTTTAAAATGTTGAGTAGATTCATGGATCCATAAAACAGCGAGGTAGTGTTGCTAAATGATAGTAGACATTGAGCAAACAAAATAAAATAAAATAAGGAAGAGAACAAAGAAAGAAAATCAGGAAGCATATTGTCAGTGAATATGCCCTTTTAGAATACACACCATGTTATGTGGTGATTTGGTTTCGAGATGCAATTTTAAGTTCCATTATTTGATCAGTCAATTTCAACATTTATTTTCCTTAAAAGCGTATTTGATGTTCTGATATGAGTTCAAACCATCTTTTTGCAAAATTTTGGCCAAATTTCAATATAATATGCGTATTTCTTTAGATAGAACATTAAAATATAGGGAGCTTCCCAAAATCCCCTGCATGTTGAAAAGAAAAAATTATGCAATAAACATACAAGTTATGGCTGGAATGGTATTTGATTCAATTCAGGTACTGATATTGAAATATGCAATTGAGGATTTTCTAATATAATCAGCAAATCTTCAAACTAAACATGGAGATTCTTTGCTTTTGAGCTTATTCTTTCTGAATTGCCAAGTTTGCGTGATATCATAATTAATGCAGATTGTGATTGTAAGCAATGAAGATGAAAAGAGGGAGTTCATCAGGGACATTGGTGAGGAAGCCCTACCAGAAGAGTACGGTGGGAGGGCGAAGCTTGTAGCTATGCAAGATGTTATACTGACCCCAATGGAGAATTAACTCAGTCTACAACTCAATTAGGTTGTGACTGAAATGAGAACCCTACCTATACTATAGTCTGATGTATGAATGATACATATGTATATCATCAATTAAATAGTACTGTCTCTGCTCTCAATACGGCTGTTCTACAAATTAAAAAACTCTTCTGAACATAATGCTTTCATATCAGTATGTCTACATATCCCCCTGAATTCTGGTTTTTTATTTTTATTTGTACTTTTGATCTGGGAAACATGAAGCGCGCTTTTTGAATTTTGCTCCCAAATGCACACCTGTGGATGGAATCTTGAATGAAATAAAATCACGAGGCGCGATTGTGCAGTTGAGAGTGTATTGGGTACGGAGGAAATTTCTTTGATTGGGTTTTAAGGTGAAGGCAAAGAGGTTTGTGATTTTTGTCTTAAACAAGCGTTCCATGAGACTTTTTTGAGGGAACGGAGAATATCAAATCCAAAATCTTTTCCAGGTAGGTCTGATTCATATGTATAGTTGGATCCATATAGGCTTACTAATGAGGGTGATAGCAAAAACTCTCCATTTGCAGTTGATTTTGAGCCTAATTGTCTGCATCACAGGTCTGAAACCCAAAAACAGTCTCTTGCACTTGTGGTAATTTAGTCGGCATGGATTTGATATAAACTATGTACATTTGAAACTCTCTAGATCGCATAGTCGCAGAAGATGCCCCTCTTTACACAGGGCAACCCTGTTAATAATGTTGTTAGGATTATAATTTGTGATTAGAAGTCATGAACTCTAGAATAGAATAATAACTAGTTGGTTGGTTAAGTAGATTCCATAATACTAATCACATTCAACAATTATCAAGATGATGAAGTGTTGAATTGGAATCAATGCCATCAAAAAATGAACATGTATATCTCTCAACTGAAATGAAATTGCAAATGGTCAAAGCACAATGTTCTAATGGTTTTGGATCATCAAAGCATAACAAATATGGTGTTGATTTAAACAATTGTATGGAGAAGAAATTAAGTAACGTATTTAGAAGCTACCTCCTTCTTAATCCCACATTTGCTTTAGTCTTTGTTTATGTTTACATAAATCATTTCTTGCAACTCATGAACTAAGAATTGTCACATCAAGAAGGTTTACTCGACATGAATTCGGCCTTTTTTCATATCACAATATTATTAAATAAAGAGTGTTATTATTAGTATACTATTAATTATTTCGAACTTCCTATTTCTTTGGACTCTTACTCATGAATTTTAAAAGGGTGATTCTACTTACACCACTACTTTACCTTTTCACATCCTTCACATGAGTTTTTTTTTTCTCCCTTATCCATGTGTGAAATTACCTTTAAGGACAAAATACTAAAATTAAATATATTTTGTTATCTCCTTACACCTCTTGGTCTTTAATCCCTACCCCTCTTTTTCTTTTCTTAATTTTTCTTTTCTCTTACCCATCTCTTTTCAAAAAGTGAGAATCACAGTATTTTGATCAGTAGAGAAAGTAATGGATGAAGAAACGGTAGTGAAGAACCATAAAAAAAGTAAAATGGTGAGTTTTTTTTATTTATTTGGTAGGTTTTTGTTTTGTTTTTCTGGACTGATATTTGATTTTCGTTCGGTGGTTTGAAATTGAACAAAATAAAATAGTCCGGCATCACATTGTCAAACAAAAAATAAAAGTCTGGTAACTAACTACCGAATAAAAGAAACATTTCCAGTAACTCCAAACTGAATTTTTAAAATTTGTTCGGCTTCTCATTACCATGTATTTTCAATTTTATTTTTTTATATTTTTATATTTTTTTACTTGGAATGATTATAATTATACTCATTGTAACAATGCAAGTACAGCAATATTAGTGGACTCTAGTCATGAATTCATTACAGACGAGATTTTTTTTTTATGAATACGATTTTTTCTTATTTTTAATTTGTATTGAGTTTTATTAATAATTTGACGTATAAATGTATTTATTATCTTTAATTTTTTAGTAGTTATGAAGCATTAATTAAAGGGGCTTCTGACGTTGGGAAGAAGACTGGATTTGTTATTGTTATAAAGACATCAGATACAGAAGGTAATGACAGAAAACCAAGATCTACACTTGCTTGTAAAAGAAGTAGTTATTATAGAGACAACAAGAAGATCAAGGGGGAACGATTAAGGTTGACAGGCTCTAAAAAGTGTAAATGTTTATTTCTGTTAAGGAGGAAAAATTACCTACAAATTATCAAGACGAATTGTGATAATATATTTGATTGATGGATGCAAATAATGACAGATTTTATGGATACTTTATGGATATTCGTACACTTGATGTTTTTATGAATACTTTTTATGTATGATTTTATGGATACGTGTTTGATTTATGAATTTTTTTATGGATGCTTCAAGGAAAAAGTAAATCTTTCAATATACAGCGGCGGGGCCTAAACAACTCTACTATAATTTGGCAAAACGACGCTAAAGTAATCCTATTTGTATAACAATGTATCACTGAACATGCACTTCACAAGTGGCCCAAATTAATTTCTTATTGTCATCTAATTGGACGGCAACATAATACTGGGAAAAAAAATATTGTCCGATAACATGGCAGTGGAGTAATTCAAATTAATTAGCGTTATATTACCAAATAGGCCCATCACAAATTAAAAAATCATTGTTTGGAAGAAAATGTCTCTATAAATGTATAGCAACAAAATACTGGAGAAATCTATTTTTTCCAGTAGCATAACACCGGAATAATGTAATTCAGCATTGTGTTACCAAAATTAGTGGTGTAAAAAGATGAAATAGTTAATTTAGGGTTGGTTTGGGTAATATATTAGGGGTGTAATGAGGATTACATTTTTTTTAGTGGTGTAATGAAATGGAGGGTGTAAAAAGGTTAAATAGTGATGTAAGTAGAATCACCCTTTTAAAACTCTTAAAATTTCCTCTCTCCCCAAATAATACCAAAATTATCCTTGTAAAAGCATTCTATCCATTCAAATGAATGCACAAAATCCTAACAAAATTCACGAAAGTGATTACTATTTCATCTCCACATACTTGTTTATGACCTGAGAAAAATAAATGTAAGATTTTTAATTTTTTTTTATTCAAAATTTCCCTTTTATAGGTTTTACGATCTTCACGAGATTTAGTTATTTGTTCCAAACAAATAAGAAATGTTCGATTACCTGTTCTCGAACAAATGAACAATGTTCGGGTCTGTGTTCCTGAATTTCGGTCATATGTTTGGGAGTTCAGTCCTGAAAAAATAACGAACAATTTTTATTATTTTTGTCAATTTTTTCAAAAAAACTTACCCTTACAAGACTAATATCTTCTGAGCTAAAAACACCATCAAAGCTGTGAATCTCCTCTGAGTTTTTATTGTTATACTCCTCTTGTCTCATGGAGCTGTATTTGCCAGAAAAAATTTTACTCATTGTCATTGCTAGAGAAGTGTAGGTAATCAAATGGTTGTCACCGTTATTGCCAGAATATTGCTGCCCAAGGGTTTTCAAAGTTTTAAGGGTAGATAGGATTTGAAGGTGCGATTTGGGAAAGGTGGATAGGTGGTGATGGAGGTGGGTGCTCTCATAAACCCTAACTTATGATGTAGTGGGCGTATGGGCTTAATTGTGAGATGGAGTGTCCCAAAATTATTCAGCTTGTTTGGATTTGGTTTCTAGAAAACACTTTTTAGAAAATTTTACTTTTTAATTTTTCGTATTTTTTTGTTTTCAATTAATTTATTTAATATTTTAAGTATATTTTTTTTTTAATTTTTAGACACACTTAACATAAATACACTTAAAAAGTGTAATATTTGTGAAAAAAACTTTAAAAAATTCACTAAATACTAAAAATACAAAAAATAAATAAAATGAAAATTTAGTACATTTTTCATATTGTGTATTTATTAAATTTGTTAAATATTTTTTCACAAATATTTTACTATTTAGATACATTTAAGTAAGGTGCACCTAAAAAAGTAAAAAAATTGCTTAAAATTTTAAAAATATTTACTATAAACAAAAAAAAAAAGCAAAAAAAAAAAAAAACTCAATTTTCAGAAAATTGAAACCAAACACACTGATTGATATTCTTTTTAATAATTTCATTTGAGGTTATTATTGTAATAAAAAAAACTAAAAAATAAGGGATCCAAAATAATTGATAGAGTGTTAATAGTAGCACTCTAAATAAATACTAATTTAATGACTAATCGAAGTATAGTATACTTTTTCATATGAGTGTTGCTATTAACATCCCATAAATTCTTTTGGACCCTCCAATTTTTAGCTTTTTTTTTTATTACGATAATAACCTCAAATAAAATTATTACAAAGGACATCATTAATTTTGGGTCACCCCACTTCACAATTAAACTTACACACCCACTACATTATGAATTAGGGTTTATGAGACCACCGACCTCCATCACCACCCATCCATCTTCCCCAAATCCAATCTTCAAAATCTACGCACTCTCAAAACCTTAAAAACCCTTTGGTGGCAATATTCCAGTGATAACAGTGACAACCATTTAATTACCTACATTGAACGGTCAAAATATGTAAAAATTTTAACACATTGAACGGTCAAAATTGTTAATACTTGTAGCAATTTTCATTTTTTCAAGTTCAAGAATACAGGTCCGAACATGAAAATTTCTTAACACATCGAATGGTCAAAATTAATGCTTACAGAAGTTTTCATTTTTTTCAAATTTGGGAATACAGGCCCAAACATTACTTATTTGTTCGTGAACAAATTCCCGAACATAGATTATTCGTTCAGGAATGCAGGTCTGAACATGAAAATTTGTTAACACTTTCAACAGTTAAAATTCTTAAAACTCGCAGAAATTTTATTTTTTCAAGTTCGGTAGTTTTAGTTTTGAAGAAGCAATGAGAGAGAGAGAGAGAGAGAGAGAGAGCATACCAACTGTGACAATGGTTAAACCAGCAGGGACAGTATTCTTCTTCTTCTTCTTCTTCTTCTTCTTCTTCATGAGTTTTGAAAAGGTTGAGACTTTTCTTCTTTTTAGTGGGTTTTGTTAGGATTTTTTAGCAGGAAAGTTTTTTTGGGGGTGTAAGGGTGTAGAGGGTGTGCATTCAATGGGTGAAATGTTTAAGGATAATTTTGGTATTATTTGGGGAGGAAAAAGAAACTTTAAGGGTTTTAAAATTTATATGTAGGGGTCCAAAGAAATGAGGGGTTCAAAATAATTTATGGGGTGTTAATAGGACCACTCCTTTCATGTAATGACGGAG